AGAAAGAAAAAGAAAGAAAAAGAAAGAAAAAGAAAGAAAAAGAAAGATAAAAAAGAAAAGAAAAGGAAAAAAGAAGAAAAAGAAAAAGAAGGGATTCAGACAGTGGAATTTTATCTCAATCAAAAAACGATAAATGGAATATGAAAATCAAATACTTCACTCTCTTCTAAGAAAGTGACCTCGACCCCATTATCAGTTACTTATTATTAGCACTTATTACAAGCTTCGTAATAAATCATGCGACTTTTATATTCATCCATATATATAAAAGGTTGTCTTGATTGCTGAAATGATTTAATTGAAAACAGAAATTTATTCGGCTATTATTCGTCTTTTCATCGTCTTAGGTATTGTTTTGGTATTATGCTAAATAAATTTTTATTTAAATCGATTTATTTAATATTTGGAATATTTTTCGTTTTATATAATTAGGCGGGTGACATTCTATGTACTCAACGAGTTCCTATTCATTCGTGTGCATTAATGACCTGCCCTGTATCTGGCAATGCAATCACCAGCGAGCACTATCCATGCAATTGCTTTGATACCGAGAACGTTTTTGGGTGAAAATCAAAAATGGTATAAAATCGAATTACCCAATGGAAATCATGGCATTCTTGATAATTGCTTTTGTACTTTTTTTTTGTAATCAAGGTACTTCGTGCATGGTATTCATTTTCTATCAAATAAAAGAATATACCTGACAATGTCTACATTTTTCTATCAAATGAATGTGCCATATCTAGAGATACATATATAAAAAAAGGAGTATCATATTACACTGTCGCGTTTTGATATATCACGTCTCAAAGAATTACACGTATAATAGTGAACACTATTAATATAACTAAATAATGTTAAATATTTACTGTAAAAGTTGTGTTAAATCTGTCTATACATTATATTGTCATTTGTGTGCAAAGCTACATCTGAGTAATGTTGAGATTTTTTTATATTATGTTTTTTTTCTATGGATATTCAATGGTTTACAATTACTTTTCTATGGTAAAGATCCATTTGGATTTGATTGTTTGCATTATTTTTCATCTGAGTCAGAATTTTCTGAAATAGTTAAATATTGTATTCGTCCAACTAACAATAAAAAGGTGATGATAATTCATTTTTTTAATATATCTGATGAATATTTTACTTTCAATGAATTATATCATCCGAATGTTACCTCATATGAAATTCTTCTATGGTCATCATCAATTGATGTTGCTGAACAATATTAATATTATCTCGATCGACCATTTCAATCTAATTTATCGAATGAAATTTTTTTTAAGTATACACCTCCATGGTTTGGATCTCGATGTCAATATTCATTAGAAATAAACAAATCTAATGAGTATGAGTATCGATGCCATAATGGATTATGTATTACAAAAATCTTTGTGGAAATAGAATTTGCGGAAGCACAATGCTTTGATGGATCGGATGGAACTATTAAGGCCAATCATCTTCTGAGATTTTATTATCGACCACATCTATTCGATTACGTGTGGTGATGGACAATGTGTAGAAGATTTTGGTCAATGTCAAAATAATCGACATTTAGCATTGACTCAATCAATTAGTATTCAAGGAAATTTATCTCATTCATGTTGGATAGTTATGGTTTGCCTTCGTAAAATTATGAATAAAATCGAAGATATAACATGTAATCAATTTATGCAATCTTCTGAAATCATTGAAGAATTTAAAAATTGTACGTTTCCTCTTGAATTTCCTGTTATTCCTGTACTCTTTGGTCATGTACGATTTTTATATGATCCAAAAGAAATTGTCAATATTAATATAACATTACGTCTTAAACCTGATTATGTTTGTTACGATGAACAATTATGTGATTTTCTCACACCTACATTTCGTCATAAAAATTTCACTTGTCGATACGCAAATCAAACAGACCTTGACTTGAATGTCGAATTAACTACATGGAAATCTATCCTTAATACTTGTGCGGCCATGGAAAGAACAATAGCAGACTTACAAGGAATTAATTTTAATAAGAAAATAAGTAAATGTATTGCACGATGGATAAATTACCTTTTACCATTTATAATTTTGAGTTCAATGAGTTTAGAAGTCATCTATCGTGATTTATTTGATGATCATGAGAAACGACGTGTTTGGTGTGTACTTCGTTATTCTCAATCAATTGAAAGATATACTACAATTGTTCAATATTTCCATTTTGTGGTTCCTTTTACGATAAATTTAATTATAGACAACAATTACTTAATCAAATCAATGAGCACAAACAACTTATCATTAGTTCTATTGTATTAGCTGTTCTACTTTTACCTCGTTTTCTTGTTTCATTATTATCAACATGTGTTAAAGCATCTCGACATCCATGGTTGTATCTCTGCGGTAATTTTATTTCATTCATTCCATCATCTCTCATCTTTATAATATTTGTTCTACCATGGAACTTCTACAAGAGACAATTTAAACAATCGATTATCACTTGGCGACAACGATTTATGAGAATGATAAGACAATGATACTCTCATTACCACAATTCTATTCAATTTAATTTATTAGTCTTAACCTTTAATATAAAAGACTGAAAGTCCACTTTTCTTACTATGAAATTTGGCTCTGAGTGTTTTTGTTGTTCATATTGTAATAATGCGTTTCTAAAACTCAACTTCATTTTTAATATTAAATTTAATGACCTGATTTAATAATACAAGATTATCTTTTGCATTCTTCTCATTATTGATCTAAGAAAGAGGGTATGGGTGTGAGTATGAATAGAAAGAGTAGATATTTAAACCCTCACCCACATCCTCAAGAGATCGATGAAAATTTCTTTCCTTATTTTTAGATAAAATCTTGTCAGTTTACAAAAAAAAATTTTGTTTAAATATTATTATATATTTAATATTTATATTATTGATGATAGAGAATTTATTATTAATATATGTCAAATAATATATACAATCAAATATAGAAGTAAAAAAAGATTCGAGAATTACATTTCCTACGAAGACATTCAAAACGAATAAATAAATTCATAATAAACAATAGCATAAAAGAAGATGAAAAATTTTCCAGTTCTAATTCTAATCGACTCTAGAACACGTTCTTGACAATATCATTTCATTTTTCGATTGAATAGTCTCATCATAAAAATCGACATATGTATATATAATCATCAAGTCCATTTATTATTAATAAATTCTTTTGTATAAAATCAAACTTTACTATAAACAACAACAACCGAAACAATGTTTATTAGAGTCACTTAACGATAAGTTTCATAAGATCTTATAAATATGTTGTATTTTCTATAGCACATTGTTTTAAAGACTATTCAATAATAATTAAGAGTGTCCTTTGTTCTTGTCTATAGAAAAGAATATCATTGTTTTCATTGACGACGGTATCGGTCAATTAAAATCAATGAATCCAACGCATATATATGTAATCTTAGAAGATTAAATATTGTTTAGACAACTAAATATGACTGATTTATTGATTCAGTTAGATGGTTTACCGGATGAAATTCTAACGTTTATATTTAAAAAATTGTACAATTATGAAGTACTTTATTCGTTAATAGGTGTCAATCAACGAATCAATAGAATTGCACATGATAGAATTTTTACTCGTCATTTACGTTTACTAGAATATTGTCGAATCGATGATTCTTCCCTTCCATTATCAGATCCAATACTTGATCGATTTTGTTCAACAATTTTACCTAAAATTGGACATCAAATTGAAACTCTCTATCTTGAAGGAACATCGATGGAACGTGTTCTTCATGCTACAAATTACCTTAATTTAAATAATCTTGGTTTATGTGATATTGACGACAAACTAGCTAGGTCTTTCTTTTCTGGTAAGAGACTTTCTTTAATTGATTTCATTGTAGAATTCTAATTAGTCATTCGAAAATAAAATATTTTATTTTTGAACATATAATTAATAAGATTAATAGAGACAATATAGGAAATCTAGAAGAGAATCAATAAGCTAAATGAGTGAGATAGAAAACAAGATTCATCATATATAATGTAATCTATAAGATAATTCAAAAAAAAATTTTTATCGTTTATTTTAAAACTTTATTTAGATACAAATCCTCTAATTCATGTATTTAACAATCAAATTTCATCACTCTTTATCAATTTTCTTAATAAACAAAACGATCCATATTCAAAGAGCATTATCTATGCATTTATATTTACAAAAATTTGGACAATATTTACCAATTTACGATGCTTAGAATTCAATTCATCTTCATCTTTTCGTGACGGTGTATTTATTAGCATTATTTTACCTGAAACTGCTATCTCGTCAACTTTATTAGAACTACATGTTGATGTGTGTAATATGATGGACTGTCTTGAGATACTTGATGAACGTTTTGATCAACTTCGTATACTTTTTATTAACATTTGTCATATTGAAACTTCAACTTTCAACAAAGAACGAAATGTAAGTTATTTTATTTCTTTAAATGAGCTCACATTTGTTTTCATTTTCAGGAAAAATTATTACCAAATTTGCGAATTTTTTCTTTGTGTTGCAATAATGAGATATCATTAGGTGCTTTTAATGAATCAATTGTACCACTTCTACGTCGACTGATACATTTAGAAGAACTTGATTTAAACATTACAGTTCAGCATTGTGAAAAATTTATTGATGGTGATATATTGAAGAAAGATATTATGGTTCATATGCCACAATTATATAAATTCACATTTAATATTTACTCAACCATTACCTATCATTATCAAACTAATTTCCCATTATATGAATCTATTGAAAAAACATTTAAATCTTTTTCTAATAATCAAATAACTACTTGTATTGATCATTGGGAAAGTGATAGTCAATGTCATATTTATTCACATCCATATCATTGGAAAATTTACCATCATATAACAAATAATTTTCCGGATGGGTTATTTAATAGTGTTACCCAAATATTATTATTTGATGAATATCCATTTGAACATGAATTTTTTCTTCGAATTTCGAGATCATTTCCATTTATGAAACAATTAACAATAGTGAATGGAAAAGCACAACAAATCAAATCAAATAATGATAATCAAATATTACCAATTATTGAATATTCCAATCTTATTCGACTGGATCTTTCTTATGTTCATGATGATTATGTTGAATTATTTTTATTTAATATGAAAATGTCTTTACCAAATAATCTTCATCTTCGTATTCATTATAAATCATTAGAAAGGGTAACACGGTGCTTTACAAGATATATGACAGAAAATAAACGTACAAAAATTGCTGCTCTATTGTTTAGTCCAATGGATCAAATTGATGAATATCATATCAAAAACTATTTTCCTTATACATGTATTCATCGTACTTATAGTTTTATATTATCAAAATAAAATCGATCTATTTGTATGAAATGAAATGATTGAAAACGAGAAAAGAGAATCAATAATAGAGATAACAATTTTAAAGAAAAATAAAATCATATGTAGTTTAGTGTAATTCAAAATTATTTAACTACTTGAACTTTAGATGTTTCATCAATATCTAGCTTATCTATTTAAGTATTTTTTAGATCAATTTATTGTATCTGTCAATTGAAATCGTTCACATAAGTAGAATAAAAAAGAATGATATCTTCGAGGATTTTTATTTCTAATATTCTATGCATAAAATTCTTTGCCTGATTTTGGTTGGCAATTGCTGTTTATTCTTCTTATTAGTCAAAATAAATAGTATTTATAATAGAGAATATATGCAACTTACGATAAGTTATTCTTCTTTTATTATAGCGAACATTCTCGTAAAGAATCAGAAATGTTAATATGTCTGAGAAGGTCATTTATTCACGTACGTATGTATGTACATTACTTTATCAGTCGACTTTGTCCATTACGTTTCTAATATTTACAGAGTTGTTCTCTGTACGCGTGCTACTGAAAAATAGAATTAATTCAAAAATAAGTGAACGAAACATTTTTTTATTTATTTATTAAATACTCTTTATTATTTCCTCTTTTACGATGTCAATACTGTTTGCCACATCTTTAATATAAGGATGAGTTGAAGGTAGTGCACATTACCATATGTTCAGAGCACGTTCATAATATGAAAGTGTTTTGGCATAGTCTTTCATACTTCTATAAATCCAACCGATGTTGTTATATGAAGTAGCCAGATCAGAATGATTTGAAGGAAGGGTTTTCCGTTGTATTTCAAGTGCTTTTTCGTGATATGAAAGTGCTGTCGAATACTCTTCCATACTGTCATACACATTACCGATGTTGTTGTATGAAGTAGCCAGATCAGGATGATCTGAAGAAAGAGCTTTTTGTCGAATGTTGAGTGCTTTTTCGTGACATGAAAGCGCTTTCGAGTACTCTCCCATGCTATCATACACACAGCCGATGTTGTTGTATGAAGTAGCCAATGAAGGATGATCTGAAGGAAGAGTTTTTTGTCGAATGTTGAGTGCTTTTTCGTGAGATGAAAGTGCGTTCGAGTACTCTCCCATATTGTCATAGGCAGTACCGATGTTGTTGTATGAAGCTGCCAAATCAGGATGATCCGAAGGAAGAGCTTTTTGTCGAATTCCAAGTGCTTTTTCGTGAGATGAAAGTGCTTTCGAGTACTCTCCCATGTGGCTGTACACGTTACCGATATGGTTGTATGAAGTAGCCAAATTAGGATGATTTGAAGGAAGAGTTTTTTCACAAATTTCAAGATCTTTTTCGTAAAATGAAAGCGCGTTCGAGTACTCTCCCATGTAGTTATACACATTACCGATATTGTTGTATGAAGCTGCCAAATCAGGATGTTCTGAAGGAAGAACTTTTTGTCGAATTTCAAGCGCTTTCTCATAATATGAAAGCGCTTTCGAGTACTCTCCCATATTGTCATAGGCAGTACCGATGTTGTTATAGGAAGTAGCCAAATAAGGATGATTTGAAGGAAGAGTTTTTTCACAAATTTCAACTGCTTTTTCGTAAAATAGAAGCGCTTTCGAGTAATCTCCCATCATGTTATACACGAAAGCGATGTTGTGGTATGAAGTAGCCAAATCAGGATGATCTGAAGGAAGGGTTTTTTGTCGAATTTCAAGCGCTTTTTCGTAATATGAAAGTGCTTTCGAGTACTCTTCCATGTGGCTATACGCATTACCGATATTGTTATAGGAAGTAGCCAAATTAGGATGATTTGCAGGAAGGGTTTTTTCACAAATTTCAACTGCTTTTTCGTAAAATAGAAGCGCTTTCGAGTAATCTCCCATCATGTTATACACGAAAGCGATGTTGTGGTATGAAGGAGCCAAATCAGGATGATCTGAAGGAAGGGTTTTTTGATAGATTTCGAGTGATTTTTCGAAAAATGAAAGTGCTTGCGAGTACTCTCCCATGTTCTCATACACATTACCGATGTTATCGTATAAAGTAGCCAAATAAGGATGATTTGAGGGAAGAGTTTTTTGATAAATTTCAAGCGATTTTTCGTAAAATGAAAGTGCTTTCAAGTACTCTCCCATCGTGTTATACGCAGTACCAGTGTTGTTGTATGAAGCAGCCAACGAAGGATGATTTGAAGGAAGAATTTTTTGAAAAATTTCATGTGCTTTTTCGTAAAACAAAATTGCTGATGAGAGCTCTCTCATGTGGTTGTATACATTACCAATGTTGTTGTATGAAGTAGCCACATCGGAATGATTTAAAGGAAGAAGTTCTTGCCAAATTTCAAGTGCTTTTTCGTAATATGAAAGTGCTTTCGAGTACTCTCTCATTTTGTCATAGACACTACCGATGTTGCTGTATGAAGTAGCCAACGAAGGATGATTCGAAGGAAGGGTTTTTTGAAAAATTGCAAGTCCTTGTTCGTGATACCAAATAGCATTTTCATAATCACCCTGTTCATCTTTGACATATCCGAGCCGATTATAATAATATTGCTTTTCATCCTCATGAGATGTCTGTTCGATTAGTACATGATAAAATTCTTCAGCTTTATTAAATTGGCCAATTTTAAGCAATAAGTCCCCCAATCTCTGCCATCCAGTACCACTAACTTCTTCTCGTATCCGATCAGTAAGCAATCGTAGTTGTTGATCATCGTCCGATGTTAATTGTAGTTCAACTTGACAAAGTTGATTGTTAATGTCCATTGCTTTAATTGGACCTACTCGAAAGACGGTGTGCATTGAGAAGAGAATTTCATTTTCGTCCTTAAAGTAACTCTTCTTTTTGATGGAGGCAAATGGTGCTGATTTTATACAAGGATCAATGGACATTATAAATAAAATGCCAACCATGTCCGCGTTTTCTGACGCACTATAAGCAAATCCAGAAGCTATCTCTTGTTCGGTACTAGTGGATAAAAAGTTATTGAAAGACATTAAACCACCTTCTGTATTTTTTAGTTTCTCGAAATTTGCTTTGGATAGACCTTGTCCCCGGTAAACTATTAATGGTTTGTCATGATAGCTATTAACTTGCTGTTGATGTAGATGTTGTATTTGTTGATGAAGATCGTGAATAAAAAATCCCATATTAATAATGGTATCGCCTTCCATAGAGCGAAGAGCATAATTCAGCATAGAGTATAAGAATGATGGGTAACTGTACCACCAAATAGCTGACTGAGCATTATAATTTTTTTCAAACTCACCAATAATCTTTGCCGACCCACTGTCATTATGTCTGCAATAAGCTGTAAACTGCTTGATAGCCTGTTCACCATGTTCCATATCAAGAAGAATATCCTTGAATATTTGGGTGTACATAAAAGTTGGTTCCAATTGATTTAAATCATTAGTTGAATCCATTTCATTTACTGGTAAAAAACTCATGGCAATCGAATCTTGATTGCATGTCTTGATACCCGATTGTAATGCTTTGCATAAGTCATCGATGTTGCTATGAACGCTCCTGATTTTTTGCCAGTTCGTTGTCCATTCTTCTTGTAGGATTTCAATATCACTGAAGATATAAATACCATCCAACTGAGGAATATCATTGATGAGGGGTAGAATTTGTTCATCGATCGTGTTCTCGATAACGAGAAAAGACTTGACGTCTTCAGTATCGGAAAGAAAGTCGACGCATTCATCTCTCTGTGTAAAGACGTTGACATTGTTGACACCGGTTTGTATTCGTGCCAAAAGATGTTTGTAGTCTTTGTTTGTTTCGTCCATAGACTCATCTAACCAAATGAATAAATGATTTTGTACGATACGTCTTCGGCGTTCGGTACTATTAGGTGTTGTGTCCATTTTGTATATTGTATGGGGTTTTCGATTGAATAGATAAAAGTGAAAGAGATGAATAAGCTATATTATTTATATGAGAGTGGAATCTCCTTGTGTAAAGAGTAGTACGACGCCGTTATCTATCTTTATATGTTTATGTAAAATAATTATAATAGAACTTTGCTCTCTATATTCTTTCATATACGTTATAGAGCCAGGTGTCGACAAAGAACGGAAAAAAAAGAATTCATTTTTTTTTCAACTATCTTCACAGATAAGAGGTAATATTGTCGATAACAAAAAAAAACACATATTTTCTTTGCAAATAGAACACGTTAAAATCTCGCAGCACTTTCTTTTGTGCTGGAATCTTATATTGAAATTACACAGGGAGAAAAGTCAAATGATCGTGTTCTTTGTTGTGAACGATTAATAAAATCTTGAGAGTTGGTACGGGTGAGGGTATAGGTTTGATTCCTCATTTAAATCCAAACACACGCACACGCACACCCACACTCAAATCCTTATTTCTAGAAGAAAATAAGGAAGACATGATTTAGTAAAAAAATCAGGGTTGCCAAATCAAAATTTTAGAAAACAGGAGTTTCAAAAAAAAAAAGCAGGAGTTTTCCAGGAGAAGTTTTTTCCTAAATCAGTAGGAAAATCAGGAGGTTTTCTATTTTAAGTTGAGAACATATTAGACGGTTTTCTCGTAGAAAATTCGAACGTTCGCTAACAAAAAATATTTATCTCCTTCGCATCAAGTTGGTGATCGATAATTTAATACACATGATATTATTTTCACTTAAATTTTATCACAAATAATATTTTTTTGCTATACAGAATGATCATGAAAAGCGTTCTTTTAGTTATATTTATTATGTACTCTTGATCAGTTAATATTCTTATTTGTATTATTTCCAAATTAGTTTTCATTCTAATCTATCAGTCAAAATTCTTTTTCATTGTAAAGTTTAAGTAAAAGTATTTATACAAATGAATAGAACGATAGAAAGATTCTTGACAGAGTTTGAAAAAAAGACAAGCATTCTTTATCTCTTACATCAATATATGAATCGATTGTACGTGTTTCTCCGCTTGTTTTTGCAATGAGCGGTCTATAGCATTAATATGCTGTAAAAAAAACAAGATAAGCTAGTTTTTGACAATGCAAGTTGTTTTTCTCTTAAGCCTTTTATGATCTATTCAGTGAACATTTTATCGATATGGCTATCACTTCTGTTGCTTTACCATTGATATCTTCACTTTCTGTTATTGTAATATATACCTATTCATTCTTTTCATGTTTATAATTCGTGTCAGACTTTGACAACAAAATTAGCAGTGCCCATAAACCTATAACAATTCTCTAATGAAAATGAAACGCAAGAATCTTGCTAAGTTATTCAAGATATTGTGCTATTCTGAGCTAAGAAGAATCAGACGTGAATTTCAAGAAATGTGAAAATCTTTCTAGACGAGAGACATCTTAACTGGCCATTTAAAATGTTGCACATCAGACTCTTGTCTGAATATCAAGATCTTGTTTTCCAGACAATAACATGCATTTTTCTGCTGTCTCCAGTAAAATAAATACTTTTTGTACAGCTAGCTCCTACAATTGATGGTTTTTTTCGAGAAAAATAAAATAAAAGCAAATATTTTCTTATTCGTTACTATAATTATCGAGTACTGCAATAGTTCTCCTTTTTTCCTTTTAACTTTCTTATTGATTCAAAGTATCGCTAAACATCAGGAGAAATCAGGAGAAAATGTTGAAAATCAGCTCCTGAAATCAGGAGATTTTCAGCCAGGAGAAAAGTAAAAAAAGCAGGAGAATCCTGGCTAAATCAGGAGGTTTGGCAAGCCTGAAAAAAATACTTGATTTAATAAATTATGTAACTTCCGAATAAAAAATAAAAAAAGTTCTTAGCGTTCAGAAACAACTCTGATTTGATAAGCAAATATTTTGAATACTCATTGATTAGTTGATTAGAATACATCAAATTCGATTATATGATGACAGTAAAAGTATTGAATAGGAACCGTTACATGTCGAAAACATTTGACATTGAACATCGATACCAACAATTGCAAACGAGAGAAAATTTGTTAGATGAGCATCGAAACTTTATTTTAACCAGATGACTTCAATCAACTTCAAATATCTACAATAGCAGCTTGTAGATGAGTGGATTTCAAGTTATAACTCAGCATTATCTAGTATGAGATATGAGATATTGAAAATGGAAATCAGTCATTTTAGGATCATTTTCTCTGGGCAAAGTCTAAATTAAAAAAGAACAAAACTAAACAAGATACAGTGTAATTTCTATCTCTATCATGTCATATTGTATTATTCAAAAGTTTAAAAATTTATGATAAAACATGTTGAGATTTGAACATTTTACTCGAATATGTTTATAAATGTGTGTTGAAAGTGACTTATGTAAAATAAAACTATATTATTGCAACCATAGGATTTTCTTTTTATCATATATATTTCATCGTAGTATATTCAATATTGATAATTGTAGTGGATTGATCTGAGCACGTACAATCCATCGTTTTATAACTATAATCATTAAATCCAATGATTATACAAACAAGAAGAGGCCGCTTTAAATAACACAGTCAAGCAACCAATCTTACGTTAGAGAAGACAACAGCTGTCAAACTATATAAAATTTGGCTGACGAAATCGATCATATCTTAAAAAAGAGCATTGCATCAGATAAAACTATGGTGACATTAGCTAAAAAATCTCCTGAGCAACGACTAAATATATGTCGTAAATATTATTTAGGTAAGCAATGAAGTTTTTGCTCGGTCTAATCTCATATCTCGTTTATTTTAATAGCTGGTTTTCTTTTTTTACCATTTCTATGGCTTATTAATGCCATATGGTTTTATAAACAAGCATTTAAAGTTGAACCTTATCCTCAACAAACACAAATACGTAAATGTAAATTAAAATGATTCCGTTATTATATTTAATAATTCTATATATATTTCAGATGTTATTCGAAGTGCAATTGGTACAGTTATTTGGTTAATTATTATTATTGCATGGAATATAACATTTCAATTATTACGTACAAAAATAGGTCCTATTGGAGATTTTCTAACATTTGTTATTCCACGTGGATATTATTAATTTTTTTTTTGTGTTATTGTTATCCTACTTCTTATTATATTATTAAGTTTATTATTGTTGTCTCATAAATTATTTTGTCAGATAGATATTAAATAAAAAAAAAGTAATTTCTTTTTCTTATTCTAGATAAATAATATGGTGAGTTTTATTTGATGATTGAATGAAAATATAACATGAGTTTTAATAGAGTACGACAGTTTTTGTTGGTCTCGGTTTGGCTGCATTTGGATTTGGTGGTAATAAGATTATTTGAATTCATAATTTCAATTATTAAATTTTTTATTTTAGGACGTTATCTTGCTCGATATGGAAAATTGATCGCTGAGAATTTAACAAAAACAAGTGGAATTATTGCAGAAGGACTTTCAGTAAAAAATCATTTATCTTATTTTGATTAATTTAATGTAAATTTTCTTTTAATAGTTTTCAGTCAAAATATTATAAAGGTGGATTTGGTAAGAAAGACAAATATTTATACAATTTATTTATTTTGTGTATTAATAGATACAAAAATGAATCGACGTGAAGCTGCACTTATATTAGGTGTTAGGTATGAACGAAAGAACAATATTTAAATTACTTTTTTTCTATTTATTTTAAAGTCCAACAACGAATAAAATACGATTACGTGATGCATATAAACGATTGATTATTCTTAATCATCCTGATCGAGGTGGATCACCGTATATTGCTGCTAAGATTAATGAAGCAAAAGAAATATTTGAAAAAGGAATTAAATAAATCAATATTAACAGTAAATGTTATAGTTTTTTTCTATTTTGTTTTGTTAAAATATATTTATTTCTAATAAAATTGGAAAAAAAACACTAGAAATAACTTATTGTTGATTTTCTATATCCTTGTATCCAATGTTTTATCTAATAAATATATATATAAGTGTTGAAAATCTCTCCAAGATATTATGACAGATTAAAGATAATATATTAATTACAAAAACTAGTTATTCATTCAAATTTCTTCGTTGTATTTTGTAAATACCGATAGCATGATACAGAATATTTTAAATATTATGAGTCATCAGCATTCCCGCATGGTAGAAAAAATCCAATTCAATGAATCAGATATTATTCATAAACCACTATATATTAAATTGTTTTTCTGTACTGTCACAGGTGGCATTTTATTAATTGCGTGATTAATATGCGTCAAGCAGAATATGATTTTGCTTGTATGATATAAAAAAATCAGTAATCCTTCGTAATAAATACGAGCTATCTGCTGATGAAATTCACAAAAGTATGTATTATCAATTTTGTAAAAGGAAATTTCCGTTTATAATAGCTTGTCATATAGTCAACAATAAGAAGAATCAAATTACACTTTCTAAAATACTGGTTTTTCTCCCAACGTGAAAATGTCAGTGGTATTTAAAAAAGCTATTCGTCACAAAAACTAAATTTTGCCACATCATTCGTTTATTTTCACCTGTATGACTCACACGTAAATAGTTGTTGTTTTTTTTCATTTCAGCAATAAAGATAATATTTATCAGTAAGCAATTATTTACTATAGTAAATCCATGCGGCTTCCGCGTGAAAACAAGACCGTGTCACATATATCTTATGATCTTTTTGAGATAAATATCAAAGGGACGAAGTCAGCTGTTTTTTTTATAGCCCACATTATTATCTATCAATAAAATATAAATTGAAGCATTTAAACCCAACAATTTTATTGAGACAGTATCGAAACAGCACTGGTAGAATCTGAGCATTAATGTAAGTAATTGTATGAGAATTTTAGTCTATTATTATCTATTCAGATAAGGTCTGTAATATTTTCCAGAAGAGAAACAATATCATATGGAAAAATCTTTCTTTATTGTTATTATTATCCATTTAGTAGCTAATAAAAAGCGTATTACTTTTTGTTTTTAATACATTTCTACATGTCTTGTCCTTCTCTTTCGCTACCAAATAATTTTGCAATGTAACATATTATAAACTATGGAGTTTTTTTTTCTTCTCCTTTTTCTTTCAATGTCTTTTCGTTTCGTTAGATGGCCAGCATAAAATAAATATAGACTTTATTCAATCAAACAATTCTTTTTCTTACATGTGATCATTTCAATTTTTAGATTTCAAGGCGAAAATATATATATATATACAATTTTCTAGATTTGAGGTAGTAAAGTATGCCGGTGCCAAGAAAAAAACCTGCTGCGGTTTTCAAAATCTTATTAATCGGTGATAGTGCTGTTGGAAAGACAAGTTTAATGTTTCGATATCATGGTATGTATTAAAAAATCCCAGGCGAATATTATTTCTTATCCCGAGAAAATCAGATTAACTTCGATTGTAATAACAAGTCTGGAAATGGGAATTGACTACATGAAATTATTAACATGTCGCATGAGATTATATTTCTAATAAAAATTAGAACAGAGTTTTACAATACCTGGAAATGATAGTATATGTAAAAATAAGAATTTTGTGTATTTTATCTTTCGAGTATTTACTAATAAAACAAATTTTTTAATATTTATTTTTTATGATAGAGGATAAATTTATTGAAAAATTTACTCCAACAATTGGAATGGATTTTGTATTCAAAAACATAACTATACAAGGTCAAGAGATTTCTCTACAGCTTTGGGATACAGCTGGTCAAGAAAGATTCCTTAATATAACAAAAAACTATTATGTAAGATAAATAAAATCATTCATATTTTTTTAATTGAAAAACAAAAATAATATATTTTAGCGTAATGCTGATGCAGTTGTCCTTGTTTATGATCGTACAGTGTCAAGTTCATTCAAAAATATATCTCGATGGATGAAAACTATTGCTGACGAGGCTCCTGAAGATATTTTAAAAGTATTAGTTGCAAATAAAAGTGATCTTCATCGTCTTCTTGTTGTAGCAACTGAAGAAGGAAAAGATCTAGCCAAACAATATGGTATTAATTTTTTTGAAACAAGTGCCAAATTAGATATAAATAATGTTGCAGAGATATTTGATTATATAGCTCACGAATTATTTGAAAGAAAAAAACCAAGACCTGTATCTGGATCTGGACCTATAATACTTGACGATCAAAGTCAGAAAAGTTTTTTCTCTTGTTGTTAATTAATCTAACATAATTTTCTTTTTATAACTCTACGCCTTACGTTGTGTGTATATGAAATATATTTTTTTTACTATTGGAAATATTTGATATTCACTTATTTAGAAGAAAAAAAGACTCGGGCAATGTTTGATCGAACACGTTCTTATCGATAGTTATTCAATTCTGTAAAATTGATTCAATTATTGACATTGGTAGAATACTAAATACATACAAAAGTTTTATGTTTGAAAGGATTTATTTATTCTTTCAAATGAAGATGAAATAAAACATAAAAATATGTGAGTAATCAGTTTTATATTAAAATAGTAAATTGAATTTATTTGGATATTTGTGTTGGACAATTTTTTTTATGTTCTTCGAATGCTCGGAATATAATAGCTTGATGACATGTTGGACATGTTTGGCAACATTGCATTATATGTCTGATGTTTGAATCTTTATGACATGGACATTGACATATATTCTCCATTTATAATATACTATACCCTAGAAGAATCTAAAATAATATAAGTCGTTTTTCATATACGTATGTATATATAAATGAAAAGAAAAGAGTTATTCTTTCTATCGTTCTTTTATTTTGTATGTTTGACAGTGTAAAGCAGAAATAATCGAAAGTATCGAAGAAGAAAAATATTCATATACATTCATAGCCTTCAATAAGTACTTAAAAGAAAAAAAAACATGTCTACCCTCTTTAATTTGACATGCTATATATATTCTATTTTCATGTGATTTGTATTATAAAACATAAGTAAGTTTCAGTTTGTGATACAAATGAAGAAGAAACGTGCGGCGATAGAGAAAAAAACTTCTATCTTATGTAAATATTTGTAATCTTTTAACAATTCATAGATATGATATAACAAATCAAATAGTTTCATTATCACATGTCAGTTCATTAAATACTCATGGGTAAAAGTTTAAAAAGATTAATACGTTCCAATATTTTCCCCATTTTATTAATTATATTTTTAATATTTTGTTTATTCATTAATCAAAAAATAAATAAAACAATTACAACTACAAATATTAATAAATTAATTAATGAAACAAATGTTCAATCATTTATTGATCATATAACAGATATTGTTATACTTCATCAAAACTATCAATTTACTATTATATCAAATCTAACAGGTAATAATATTCCAAAATGGTTATATCAATATGAAATCTCACATCTATTTAATTTTTACTGGTTACAAAACGGAGCATATCTATGGCATTTACAACGTTTAATGTATATTAGATTAAATCCAATAGATCGAAAATTTCAACAAAATTTTCAACAAATAGATATATTTAATTATTTACATCAACATCCAGAATATGGTATTATTATTGATACAGCATCTGATCCAATTCAACCGTTATTTACACCATTACCAAAATCAACATTGTCACTTGAAAAGACATGTCAATTATACCAATGGTTAAATACATGGTATCCATGTACGACAAGATCAGAAATGATATCTTCATCTATTTTTAGACCTCTAATTACATATGCTTTATATGATGTAACAATTGATATATATAAACATTCGTCTGATTTAAAAATAATTCATTATGATGAAATTATTTATTTATTTGATAGTCAACAACAATTAATAAATGAAACATATTTTGTTAAAGAAATTTTACCACGTTTAATTCGTCTGATAGCACTTGTACCTGAAACAGCGTATATTTTATTACCATATTTAAATATAAAAATATATATTAGTCAATATATTGACATTTTAATTCAACGTGGTGTAATTAATAATAAAAAACGTCTTATTCAATATAATTCAAGTCAAATTTATCATGCTAATGTTATTTATTCGACATCTTCTCCACGTTCCGATTTAATATTATTAAATAAAATTTTACTTGATCAAAAAAAATTATCTATTCGACGTGAATTAATTTTAATAATTCGTAATAATCTTGATGATTATAGTTACAATGAAATTGTTCAAATTATTCATCAATTTGAATTACCTGAAGATTATAAATATTTACATATTGAAGAATATAAAGAAGAATCATATAATTTAACACAAATTCAAAATTTATTTCGACAATCACGTATTATTATAGGTATGCCGACAGATATATTATCTCATATAGTATGGTGTCAACCACGTACACATATTATTGAAATAATACAAAAAACTATGACAACAGATTATTATGAAATAAGTTTACAACTTCAATTAAACTATTGGTTAGCATTGATAACTAAAACTAATACTATAGATATTATTGAATTCCGTTATTTGATGATGAAAATTTTAGCGAATATTGATGCATAATACAATATCTTATATTAATATAGATGACAACATCTATTAAAAAAGCAAGCAGGAAGAGGAAAAGCAGGTGAATTGTGTTATTGTTAGAATTTTATATACAAGGGATAAGTAAATTTAGTCGAATACACAAAACAACACAAATTATTGATCAGACTATTCCAAATAAAGTATACAGACAACATCGATACAACCGGTAGATTAAATGCAAAAGTATCCTGTGTTTTTGGGTTTGGTTTTTAAAATTTAAAATGATTACGAAGTAAACGAAGAAATTCTTCACGATTTTCTGGTGTTAATGCTAAAACTTGTTGTATTAATTTATTAGGTGAAGCAACACGCGCAAATGTTGAAATATAAACATTTGTAAATAAAGCCATAATTATTTGACAATCGAATCGATCCTATGAAATAAAAATATACTATGTAGAGAAATCTATATACATATAGTTTTAATCTTACAACAAATCCTCCATGACCAGGTATTGTTGCTGCAAAATCTTTAATACGAAATGCACGTTTAAATCCACTTGCAAAAAAACCTCCAAATGGTCCAATACTTGACGCAAATAATGATAGAATCAATGAATGTAATTGAAATGGATATAATTCTAATGTACGTTTCAATAATGAAAATGGTCTAGGCATTGTATAAACCGTTTTTTGAAATAATGGCATTGGTATACATGATGTTGCTAAAGCCGATGTTTCATCATCATATTCTAATGGACATACTAGAAATTGATAACGACTTAAAATACCAGCGACAATAAAACCAAATACTAATGTTGATACACCACCACCAATAAAACCTTCCCATGTTTTTTTTGGTGATAATTTTGTTAATGGTGTACGACCAAAGAAAAATCCGAACATATAAGCCATTATATCATTACAAATAATTAATGATACAGGAAAGAGAAACCAGATCATACCTAAATTAATTAAAGCAAATTTTACTATGAATTATTGAAGCTGATCTATCTATGGATTTGTTTATTATATAAAGCTTTCAGGAAATCCCTATAGATTTAAAATGAGTAATCCTACGGAACTGAGATTTTTTTATTTAACACTTCATATTTTTTCGATATATGTTGTAAACTTTGACACTTGTATATCTCATAAAAAACCTTTAATCCATTTATCAACTGTCAATAAACAAAAGACATATGTACATAACTGTCAATGTCAAATGGAGAGACCTTAGAAAAATAAAACATTTGTTGATATAACATATAATATTGATAGATAGGATATATTAATAACAGTTGTTTATTCTTAAGTTTTTGTTTTTTTGAAATTTTACCTTCACATATATTTTGTATCATTTGATGACTTGATGTAACTAAAATCATTAATGTTATATGTGTATATCCAAATAAAGTAAATTGTTTAAGATAATATGTTTTTTTTAAACTTAAAACAAATCCAACAAATCCACTTGTATATAAAAGAAATGCAATCATACGATGATAGGTTATAAGTGGTTGAAGAAAATTATTTTTATGCATCATAAAACCAAAATGATGTATTAAACTTTCTCCATATAACCAGTAATTTGATGTAAATAAAAAATACCATGATAATGTACGAAACCATGGTAAATTATGAGATTTATAAACAACATACCCAATATTAATTATCTCTTGAAAACATTTTATTTGTATAAGTAATACAACTAATGAAACAACCAATGGTCCCATTGATACTAATTTTGCGAAACCAAGTATCATAACCCATGAAAATATACCACGAATAATCCAATTACGCCAACGTTGATCAAGACCAACTAATAATCCATCGAAATATTGCATTAATGCTTGTATTGATGATTCTTCAATGATCATATTTGCTCCACTTGGTTGTGATGGTAATGGTTCCATATCATCATCTTCTGTTGTTGGTGGAGCAACACCTTTCGCGGATATTCCTGAATCTGATAATCGAGGAATATTCGTATTTTGTCCATGTTCAACATTACGATGATGAAGTTCAGTATCAGGTGAAGTAGATGTTATATTGTTCGTACTCATGATTAATCGTAGAACTAAATTATTTTTTTAGGAATAATTCGAAAACAAATTAATCCACTTTCTTGCTTATTAAAGCTTATAAATCAATACGGATGATTTGATCAGACAAAAAAAAACAAGAAGAGGATCGATGTTTTTGTCACATCAATTAATAGAAACCAATAGGAAATTACTTATTTTAGATAGATGGCAATAGAAAACGGATTATTCCAGATTTTCCCAATTCTCTTGTTATATTTATTCATATACAGTCTATCTTCGTTTATACGATTCTAAATCACGTTTTGTGTTCTTTCAATACTTTTATAAGCGATTACATTCTCTTTTTTACTATACGTCTCTTATCGTAAATCAATAAAAAATAAAGGTAAACACCTTTATAATAATTCAGAATAAATTCACCATGTGCATTATCCTAGCTTTATATTTATTTTAGATAATATTCGATTCGATAGAAAGGTTTATGTCCAATTATTCGCGTGTAACCATTCATTCAGAACGAATTTTTAGGTAAATAATATGTTTTCATCAACGAAATATACATACACATATGTATTAACGACTAAAAGGTTTCTAAAATGCTCATTATTAACTATATGTCAAAATTCATTGTTATAAAAGATTTGCTGTAAGGTTACACAAATGTCACACCCACCCACTAATAATAATGCTGCTTGATAATAGTATGAACTCATCTTTTCTGTATTAATTACTCTCATATGTTTATGATAGTAGACAAACAATCAAGCCGATATTGCTGAATTTAAATATACTTTTCAAAATCTTCTTCTTCGTCTTTTTTTGATATAAAAATTTCGTAAATTATATAACCAGCTGTCTTTATATGCATATTTAATATAAGGAAGAAGGATGAAACAGAATAGTCAGTCAAGTTTTCCGACGCAAACACGAGAAAAAAAAATAATGAGAGTGATAAAACAAAACAAAACAAAACAAACAAACAAGCACATAATATCTTCTTTTTTTTTCGCTCAATCTAATATACAAAATGTAACAAGACCAATAGACATACACATATATACTTTTTTATATAAGCAAATAGAAACAAATACACTCAATATAAGTTTCGCTTAGAATGCGAAAAACGATATACATATAGAGATGAACAAGAATAAAACAAAAGAATACCGATGAATTAGAAGAAGAGAGAGAGAGAGAGAAAAAAAAGAAGAAAAAACAATCGACATTTAATAAACAAGATATATCTTCATGCTCTTTTATTGATTAATTTTGTTCTTTAACCATTAAATTTTCAAGTAATTGACGAAAATAATTATCAACAACGTTAGCACATTGAGAAAATGTTGAATCAATTGCATTAAATTGTCGACAATTATTAAAGATTTTATTAACATCACGAATGAAATCACATATTGTCTTAAATTTATTACTTAAAACTTTTGTTTTTAATGTGGTTAAATCTTTAGAAGAAAAAAAAAATAAAATCATAGAAACACAAAAAACAAATATTTTACCCATTGGATCTTTTATAATCTTATAATAGTTCGGTACATCTTTAACATCAACTGGTTTTTGAAATGGCCATGACATTTTATGTGCCTATGAAAGAATAATAAATATTTAGAATTATTGACAAATATTTATTTTACCAAAAGTTGATCGATAAGATTTAATAATTTTTTTCTTGTTTCACCTATTATTGGTTTATTTAAAAATTCTTGTTTTTTCTCTGTTGAACATCTTGGACAAACATATACTTCAAATTTTTCGGCATCTTCCGATGTTATATTAACACAAGAACCATGTAACCAATCCGCACAAACATCACAACCAATATAAAATCTATTTGAAAAGAAAAGAATCGTGTTTTTGTTTTTTTCTTCATAAAGTAAAATCTTTTATTTACTTTGATTCATCATATGGTGTTTGACAAATACAATATAGACGTTCTTTAGCTCGTTGTGTTAATATTGCACAATCTTCACATATAAAGTCATTCATTTTTTCTGCAAGACGTGCTGTTAAACCAACACATTTGCCATGTAACCAACGTGAACATAATTCACATTGAATATAAAATTTATCTTGTACATCATTATTTCTTTTACAACTACAATCAAGATTTTCTGGTTTAAAATCTGATGATAATTTATTGCCTTTTCGTTGTATTGAATTATGAAATGTTGTTATTAATTTCGGTTTAATTTTCGATGAATTTAATGATGATTTACGATTAGTTATAAGATTTTCATCATTATCGGATATATCATGATGATCATTGAGATTAGTACGTGAACGACGAACTTTTTTTAATAGGGGACTTTGATCATCTTCGGATGATTTCATTGATGACATTGGACGAGTACGTTTTGATATTGTGCTAAAAATAAAAATCGAATCGTAAGAAAAACATCCGATAAGATGTTATTATTATTATAGAAAGATACTCATGGTCTCCGATTATGGCGTGTAGCCCCCCGCAAAATTCGAAAAGCTGTCTGTCTTTCTGCCGAAATTTTGAAAGTTTTTCTGAAAACTTGATCAAAAATTTCAATAAAAACACTTTTTTTGGGCGAAATTCCACAGAAAGTGTATAGCTTAAGTCTTTTCTACGTTATATGCGTCAGAAAGCTATATGACGGCACTTTTAAAAACAATCGGGAACCCTGAAGATACTGATCGAGAATTATCAATTAACCTTTTAATAGTCAATTCTGATGATTTCGGTGTTCCTTGTCGTTTATGTTTAATTTCATTTCCATTATTTTTTTTTGCTTTTTTAGCTGGTGGTGATGAATCTTTATTCGTTTCATCCTCGGATATTGATTGTTCTTGTTTAATATTTATTGCTTGTTGTTGTTGTTTAAGTATAATTTGTTGTTGTTGTTTTAAACGTTGTATTTGAAATTGTTCTTTAACTAAAGCTGTTTTACGATCGGAACGAGTTTTAATAAAATCTTGTCGAAGTATATCAACACGTTCATTTAATAAACGTGTTAATATAATTTGACGATGTTCAGATTTTGGAATAGTTGTGCTATGTTTTTCTAAACGTGTTTTAATTGATTCTTGATTTTGTTCACGTTCGATTCGGCCGATAAGTGAACGAAGAATAGTTTCACAAATTTTCATTCTAAAATATCGAAAGGATTTCTTAATTGAAAAAAATGGTTGAAGGTATTTTATACCTAATGCCTTCTTCAGGATCAATTTTTGGTGGTAATGCTGTAGTAGCTGGTCGTTTAATAGGTGTTTTTTGAATTTTAACTTCAGATGTTGATGCTTGTGGTATTGAAACTTGTCTTGGAGTCATTTTTTTTCGTGAATCTTTTATAATTGATGTCGCTTTATTTTCTAATCTAGCTTTTGTCGTAGATTTTTCATCAATTGTTGTTGTTGTTTTACGGATAGCTTTTGGTTTTTGTTGTAGCTGTTGTTGCTGTTGTTGTATGGATGGAGATGATACAACAGGTAAAGATGTTTGATGTTGAATAGGTAATGAAGAATCAATTTTACGTTTATTATTTATTTTCAATGATGAACCATTACTATCAAGTGTAACTGTTTCGGATATGATTGGTAATGAATCATCTTCACCAGCTAATAAAACACTTGCTGTTGGATCAAAACGTAATAATGTTTCAGCTGATGCAGCATTAAGTTGTTGTTCTTGTTGTTGTGCTAAAAGTGAATTTATTAAATCATTTGCTGTTGGTGATGATAAAGATGTAGGTGCTGGAGCTATTGGACGTAAACGACGTTCTTGTGGAGATGTTGTTAATATTTGTTGATGTTGATGTTGTTGTTGTGATTGAGATGATTTCAAATTTATTGGCGGAGATGTTAAACTCGTTATTTGAATTGTACTAACTCGTGGTGTATTTTGCTCTTTTGTAACTCGTTTTATCGTCGATATTATACCTGTTGGATTTGGTGGACTTGTTGATGGTGCTTTAATTATTCTTGATATACCATTTTCATTATTAAAAACGTATTGTTGTGGTTGATTATTTGTCGGAACAAGAACAATTTGTCCATCGGCTAATTTAACAACAGAAAAAGATTTCGTCGGTTGTTGTGGTGTTGATGATAATGTTGTAGATTGATTTGTTGTTGAATTTGGTGTAGTTTTAACTATAACAACTCTTCCACTTTCAGGATTTAATGGTGATTTTGTTTGAATATGTGGAATACGTATAATATATGGTTTAGCAGATTGTGATGCAGAAAGTGGATCATTAATTATTGTTGTTTTTTCTATAATACGTGGATTCATTTTTGTTTTTTCGTCAATAATCACTGTTCGAGGTTTTTAATAAAATATAACGAGTTTATGATATGTTATTAATTAAATTTGAGGACAAGTTTTTTTATTGAAATGTCCCATCTAGAATAGATAAAAAAACTTTATCATAAAATCAATCTATACTAATGATTTGATCATATAAGTAATATATAAACTTCTTCAATGTCCTTAGATCTTTTTACTGATAATAAAAACACAATAGAATTTTAATTTTCTTTTACTTCACACATAAATAGAAAATTACCTTCTGCTAACATTTTTAGTTTCATATAAAAATAAACATAATTATCTCTATTGATAAGCTAAAGAAGAAAAATAATATTCTGTTATCTCATTTTTTGAAAACCTAAATAAATGAATGATTTCTCTCTTATATATATCTATGACTTACTTCTTAAAATAAATAAATAATTAATCTTACTTGTAAGATAATTCTGAAATAAATTTTCATATTCGTATTCTCGATGTTTTAATAGAAAACCTATTTTCATTTAATCGTCTTCTTACCGTTGTATTCTCTCTTTCATATTACTGAAAGAAAAAAAGAAAAGAAAACTATCGTGCTTAATGTTTTTAATATATCCACCATATTATCCGTGTGGTATTTTCTTTATTTCAAACCTCTAAACATGTGTCAAGTTTTTGACAAATCAGAAAATATTCTATAAAAAAATTTTATTTAATAAAATTCTTTTTTTTTCTTATTAATTTTAGTTTAATAAATAAAAGAAATATTTTATATAATTATAGCGACATCTATAAATAAAATTTTATGAAAAAAAATTAATTAAAAAAATTAAGCGAAAATATTTTATTTGAAATAATCAAAATTCAATATTTTAAATGATTTATGAGAGGCGATAAAACATTGAAATAAAATAAAATATGGATGTCCCATTGTTCAAACGAATAATTTCAAATTGATTATTATTATTAAGAAGAAATCGAATATTTTATAATGACAGCTGAAAATAAACAAGAAGAATATATTAAACTTCGTGTCGTTGGTCAAGATAACAGTAAGAAATAATGATATTCATTTGATTTTATCGTATAATCTCTCTCTCTCTCTAGGCGAAGTTCATTTTAAAGTTAAAATGACAACTAGTATGGGTAAATTAAAAAAATCATATGCAGAACGACAAGGTAGAATATTTTTTCTGTTAGAAAAACTTTCGTTTAATTTAATTTTATTCATTTAGGTGTTGGTGTAGCAACATTGAGGTAAATAGAATAGTATGAATAAATGAAAACTTATATTTTGTTTTAAAGATTTCTTTTTGATGGTAAACGAATTAACGATGACGAAACTCCCAAGCAACTTGAAATGGAAGATAATGATACTATCGAAGTTTATCAAGAACAAGTAAATATAAGATTTATTTTAGAATTCGTTCGTTTTTTTATGTATATGAACATTTATTAGGTTGGTGGTTATTCGGCGTGATATATATTCTCAAAATAATTTGCTCTCATATCTGTAAATACCAACGAACAACAGAAGTTTGATTTATCATTTTTCTTTCTTTCTCTTTTTTTTGTGCATAATAAACAAACAAACAAACAAACAGAAAAATAATCGAAATCCATCCCCGGTCAATGAAATAATAATAATAATAATAAAATATAAAGAAGAAATCAACGATTAGTGGTGTACCTTTTTTTTGTTAGAGAAAAAAAGAAAATCTATTTACAGATAAGAAAAGAGAAGAAAAAAGAAAAATTAATCAAAGATATCATTACATCACATTTTATGTTGCTCGATTTAAAAAGCAAATATGTGTTTTTGCAATCTATGATGCACATTCCATATCTCCTGATTCGGATTCTCTAAAAGATTGTAAAGCTGATGATGACATAGTTCGACGAAATGGTGATGATGATGATAATCGACCACGTTGTTGCTGTTGACATACAGGTGTTTGATCTTGTCCATTAACAATCGTTTGATTGTGTTGACGATTATCAGGAGACAATAAATGTGGTATTTCAAGTTGTAACATTGTTTGATAAAATGTATCTTGACGTAATTCACTTGCTCGTGGACGTTTATGTGGAGAATATGATAATAACCAACGGATTAAACGACACTTTTAAAATATATAGAAAAAAAAACATTATTTTATTATTTATTCGTCTATATTACTTACAATTAATTGATTACGATTACGATTACTAGGATCATGTTCGAAATCAATGGGAAATACTGGGTTCTCAAGACGAACATTTGCTATTGCTTGCATACGTTCCATTTGTGTAGAAAATGGATAAACAAGTTCAAATAGTATAATACCCATGGCATAGATATCAACTTTTTGATTGTATGGTTCACGATGCATCTTTTATAATGATAATAGAAATTTTGAGCTTTTAAAAAGATAATAAATTTTACCTGTTCTGGACTCATATAAAGTATTGTACCACCAAGTTCATTATTACCACCACCATCTGTTGTTGATGATATTGTTTCAATTGGTGGTATTGAATCAATTTTTTCATCATCACGTTTTTTCTTTTTAGCCAATTTATCTTCACCAAAAGCAGATACAAGTCCGAAGTCACCTATTTTCACTGTATTATCCAATGAGAAAAGAATATTGGATGGTTTTAAATCACGATGAATCTAAAGAAACAATTTTTTTTATTTTGTGTAAAAAGAAGAAGATAAAAATATTTTACCAATTTTTGTGAATGTATATATTCAATACCCTTAATAATTTGATCAAAAATTGACCATGCTTGAGGTCGATCAATACTTCGTTGTATTAATCGATCACGTAATGATTCAGGTTGACATAATTCCATAACAAAATAAAAAAAAGTTATTGGAGTATCCTTTTCATTCATAATTATTTTTGGTTTTTCAGTTAAAGATTTCGTTGTTTGAATTGGAATTAATGATGATGACGATGGTGAACGTTTAGCATCATGTAAAAATACAATTCCATCATCACTTTCTGTATTATCTTTATTTGGTAGATGTTCATCATGTGATAATAATAATGATGAATCAGATGAATGATCAAAAAATGGAGATGAAGATGAGAACGAACTTTTTGTTACTGATAAACGAATTGGTTTTTTAGATTTATTATTATTATTTGCATCTAAATGATTAGTTTTTTCATCAGATGATGATGTTGTTAATGATGATGATGATGTAGTTGAACTTATTTCAGATTTATCATTATTATTATTATTAATACTATTAGCAGAGAAATCTTCATCAATACGAAGTGGATTTGAAGAACGATCAAATGTTATTTCGAATAATGGCGGTGGAGAGGTAGTAGTGGAAGGTTTCATTGCATATACAGCTGAGACAGACGATTGTCTAGGAGATCTACCTTGATTTATAGATTCACTATCATTTCCTGATGCTGCTGATGTTGGAAATGTGCTTATTGAATCTCTAACAAAAGAAAAAAACAATATAAATAATCTTATACTATTAAATATCATATATACCTATTATTAGTACTATTTCTGACTAATAATGTTTTATCTTCTTCTTCTTGCCATCCAATGGGTGGACTTTCATTCCAAGCATAATAATACTGAATTAAATTTGGATGATTTAAAACAGCTAAATATCGAATTTCTTTTAATGCACGTTCTTTTCCAGATGCTCTTGAAAGATAAAACAAAGAAAATGAATTGTTTCAATTGAAATATCTCAATAATAATCTTACTTTTTCAGTGATACACGTTTAATTGCAACACGTCTTTCATCTAGTTTATTAATTGCTTCAAATACAACACCAAATCCACCACGACCAAGAAATCGAACATGTTCATATTCAAGTGTATATCTTGATTGAAACGGTGGTGTTGTTGCTGTTAATGGTTGTTCTAATTGATGATATTCTGGTGTTGATGGTGGCGTCATTGATAAACTAGTACTACTTTGTGACATCAACAGAGATTGTTGACGTAAAATTTTTGTTTGCTTATGTTTATAGTACCAATAAAACATAATAATCAAAGCACCAAATACAACAGTTGAAATTGCTACTGGATTTCCTGACAGATTCATATTTGAATGAGTATTTAAATTATTTATTAAATTATTTTTATTATTTTCTTCCTCAATAAGATAATCAGCTGGATAAGGAATTAATTCCAAATAACCAGCTGTATCACATGTTTCAACAACAGATGCTGCAGATGCATGCGGTTGATGATGTCCCGTAGGGTCAGGTCGTAAAGCTAATGGATAATTATTTTCCGATGCTGGCATACCAATAGTTCGTTGATAATTCTCTTCAGTTATTTCAGAACCAATTGATAATGTACGTTTTTGATAAGCTTTATGCCAAGAAGATAAAACGGGTCCTCCTCTATGACCAATTGATCCAGGAACTAGAATATCAAAAATTCTTATGAAAAAAAGGAAGTAGATTGAAAATATTTTACCATTTTTTCTTTTAGCGTCATAAATCAATTCTTTTTGAACTTTCGGTGATACAATTACATATGGTGTTGAATTAAATTCTCCGATAAATGCTAAACGACGTGATAGAGGTGGTGGAGGCAGATCTTCTTCTTCTAAATCTAAAAAAAATAAAAATCATAAATAAAACGAAGAAGAAGAAAATAATGATTATTCTATACTTATATCTTTTGGCAGATCATTTGTTTCTATTGTTGTATCAAATAAAGATTTTTCTTTTAATTCACCATTTTTTAATTCCCATACAGCAGCAATTGGTGCATTGATTGCTGACGACCAAATTGAATGACCTGTTTTATCAAATGCTAATACAACACCAGTTTGTAATTGATATTGAAAATAACCTTAAATATAAAGTTGATAAAGAAAATATTTTCTGTTTTTTTATGCTACCGGAAAATGTTGTTTCAGGGTTACTGTGAATATCAACTTGTCCAAAAACAACAGGAGCCGATTGAGCACGTAAATAAAGTAATTCATTATTTGAAACACTAAATAAATCGGAATTCGTTTTCTCATATTACATTTAAAAAAAACGTTTCTACCTGAAATTCCATTTTTCATATCCATTTCGAGCACTTCGTGCTTTTACAGTTTGTGTTATTCGTTTAATAACTAATGTTGATTTATGATCATTATTATCTGTAGATGTTGTTGTTCGATTACTATTTAGAGTATTCTGTTCTTTTGAATCATCTTTTAAAAATGAATAAAGTATCTAATAAAAATAGAAAAACTAAAAATAACTATTTCATATTTTTCCATTATTTCGTACTTGTCCTGTTTGTAAATCAAGACCAAGTGTATCGATATGTTTTCCACCATTTATAACTAATTCATCATGAAGTTTAAATGATGCATCAAGTAACGCATCAGCATCCAATGGTAAAGGTTCAATATGTCCATCTTCTTCATATTTTTCATAAAGACCACCAATAAGTGATGGAATAAGACGAACTGATCGTGAATCACGAGGTATTTCAATTTTACTTAAACTTGATTCAACTAATGGTGCACCAATATCAGCTGTCCAAATTTGACGACCATTTTCATGAGCATTAAGTGCAGTGATTTTGCCATCCAAAGATATTACATATAAAGTATGACTAAAATAAAATAAACTTTTGTTGTCGAAATAACAAAACAGAAGAAAAAAAAACATTTCAAGGGCATGGTTATAAAATGCAAGAACGTATTGCATATTCCCTTGAAATAAATACATGCTCGATCGCAATCAGTTAATCTATATGAATAATCTTATTTAAAAATAGTCTCTCAGGCACCAAAATTTTCGTCTCTCAAATTATCAATAAAAATATATTTACATTGAGTCATCAAAACCTGAAGTCGATGGTGCTGACGATGCTAAAGGTATCGAAAGTGGTATAGGTGATACTGTTGTTGTTAATATAATGTCACGTGAACCAAGTTTTGCTACTGTTCTATCAGAATTTTCAATATGTTGATTATAATCACTAGTATTTATTTGAATTGATTGAGATAATTGTGGGCAATATGTAAGAAACAAAATAGCTATCGATGGAATAAATATAGGCCAAAATTGTTGTCGAATAAAAAAAGATAAATGAACACTAACATTTCTACGATATCTATACATGAAAACGATTATTGATGTTAAACATCTACAAAAAAAGAAAAATCACATTCGTAGAATCAATCACATGAGACAAAAATGACAAAATTTTTCTATTTTATTCTATGACAAAAAAAGAGAAGTACGATGAATAACCAAATACGTAGAGAACACGTTAAAACATATTTTGATAAAATATGGATGACAAAAACAACCATTTGTAACCTATTATTATTATGCGTATGTAGACTTACGATTACAGCGACACATCAAGGATAAATTTACATATGATCGACTAAAAATTGTTTTTCAGTAAGACAAAATTAAAGCTACGATTAAAAAGACATTAATTGATGTTTTCATTAAGTATCGTGATCATAGTCATATATCTCACATTAATATAAACCTTGAATATATATTTTATGAATAAATACCTAATGATACATATATAAAATATCAACCTTGTCTATTTGATTACAATATTGATAAAAGATTTTATTTTTGTATGTAATATATTATCTTGAAAGATTAGAGATATATATTTTTATATTCGTTTGAATTTCTTAAGTTAAACATTCGAAATTTTTATTCTACTTAGAAAATTGTTAAAATACAATCGAGATATTTATATATGCACAATTAATATTTATTTCTATTACAGAATAATAATAATAATAAAAAAAATGATGAAAATCTTGCATGATCATGTCATTTTAATCTTAACAGAATTTCATTCATATTGAGTTTAATATATATATATAATTCTTTTTAAAATAAAAAGAAATCTTATTCAGTATATACGTTAAAAATTAAATTAATTATATCCTAATATATACATAATACACAATAATATTTGTTTTAATTGTTTTTTCATTACCTTCAATGCGAGAGAACATACACATACACACAAGAGAGACTATTTTTGTGACAGAAAGAGAAAAACGTATATAAGTGTACAAATTTAAAGAAAAAGAAGAGAAAAAAAGATCAAACATTCTCTGATCATAATTTAGTCTGTAAATGATGTATCACCCTGAAGTCCTGATGAAGAAAATGGTCCTAATGCTGGAAATAGTTCTCTTGGTGACGGTGGTGGTGGGATAATTTGATTTTGTGTCGATTCAAGAAATTGAAGAAGTACTGCATTGCCAGAACTTTGATCTTTTAAAATTAAAAGACAATTAATTTAAACAAAAATATTCTTTTTTTTCTAATTTACCATCATTTGCATCAATTAAACTATTTACTGATCGACTACGTACACATTGAAAATCAACATGACGTGATTTAGCTTCTTCTTTTTCCCATGACATACGAAGAAATGGTCGTTGAATATAACTATATATAGCTACGAAAAAAAGAACAAACAAATGATTTTGAAAATAATCATGATTTATTTACCTTCTGGTCTTGCACGTGGACGACAACGAACTTTTTCTTTATGTGTTGGATAACCTTCAATACCCATTCGAATCTTTTTTAAACCACGATCTTTTAGCACCAATTTAGCGACTTCACGATTTTCAATATATTTAAAAAATCGATACATTGCAGTTGAACGGATAACTAAAAAAATATATCTCGTATTATTTAATTAATTTTAATATATATTTTTTACTTTGAGCTTTATCTTCTTCCTGTCCAAGTTGCGGTGGATAATCATCATCCCATTCGATAAGATCATCATCACATAAAATCACTATTTGACATTCACGATCACCACGCTTTAAAAAATAAATATTATTTAATAGACAAAAACAAAATTGAATCATTATTACTTGAGCAGATTCAACAAGCACAGGATAAATATCATTTTCAAGAAACATTTCAAATTGTTTTTTTGCACCATCATTTGATAATTCATGTAGTAATCCACATAAATCTTGACATTGAATTGTTAATTGATCAAATGGTATAAGAAAATAATCACATGCTTCACGTAAATCTTGTATACTAACAGATGGTGGACAACGTATTATTCCAATACTATAAAAATCCTACAACACAAAAAAAAACAGAATTTTTTCTTTGTTGATTTTTTTCTTCTTACTAATAAAGCTCGAAATATCGTTGATGATATTCCATTAGCTAGTTCATATTCTCCACGTTCATTAGCTATAAGTGATGTTTCCCATGATGTACTAAACATTCTACCAAGCATAGTATTTGGATGTGCACGAAATAATTGTGGATCAATAACAAATCTTGTTTCATCAACAACAAGTGTAACACGATCAGGATTATTTGTTGTGGATCCTGAAACGATTGTTTGTTCTTGAAGTTTTTTATTTATTGAGATTTTATTTTGATTTGATGAACGATTACGATGATGTTGATGAGTTGAAGCACCAATGATAACAGATGAACTATTATTATGATTATTTATTGGAATAGGAGATACAGATTTCGATTTATTTTTTATTTTTATAAGTTTTATTGGAGGATTTGGTATTTGTAATTCAGGACTTGTTGAACCTTGAATAGGAAAAGATTTTATAAAATATAAAACATAAAAAAAAGTTTTTACCACTAGGAACTTTAAGAATCCCATGTGTAGGTTGTTCATTTGAACGTCCTGTATTTGATATTATAGGATTTGATTCATTAGATTGTAGTTCTTCATCACTAGTTGATGTTTTATTTACAAGACATGGTTTCATTTTATTATTGATTCGTTTATTTCTATAAGAAATAAAAACAAAAAAATATATAATCTTTTTTTATTTTAAAATTAAATACCCTCGATGTTTCGATGACGATGATGATGATGGAGTTTCATTATTATTTGAATCTGAACAATCTTTTGCACAATCTGAATCATCTGAATCTGTACTAACATCATGAGATACTGAGCTTTTTTTATTCGAAGTTGCCATAATGCCTAATTTTAATAAACGAAAAAAAAGAATTATATTTCAAAATATTATTTTTTTGTAAATATTACCTGAGATGATTTTATACACGTTTTAATAAAAAAGATCAAAAATGTACTTGTCACATGGAGGTAATCTATAGTGTAATTTATTAATAAAGAGTTTTATTGACTCAAGAAAAATATTGTTGAAGTAATGAAAAAAGAATGAAAGAGGAAGATATATAAATAATGACAATGAAAATGGCAATGCTCTTTATTGATCATTAGAGACGACAAATCAAGTAAATGATGTCGCTATTTATCAACTAGGGGGAAAAAAATATATTGAATAATAATAATCGAATAATCACATATTAATGTCTTATATGAGAAAAATTAGTCATACTTATATTTATGTTAAATTAGATGGTTTTCTTATATTTTATAGTAATTATATGTAATAAAAGATTAATATATATATATTCTGTCGTTGTCTTTTGATCAATGATGGAAGGAACAGTTGTGAGAAAGTTAGATAAATGAAAGAATTTAAGATTAATAATAGACAGATTTGATAATATATTATTAGAGATAAAAAAAGAAATCACGAGAAAACTCAAAATTAATCTTTGATAAGTTCCTTTTTAATTTTCATAGATCGCGCAAGTGACTACATAAGTCTACATTCATTTAATATTAAAGAATTTGTAATTTTCTATAGAAATATAAGCAGATTTTCTATTTCTTTCAAGGTTTTGTATCAAATTTTATCGTCAAATCTGTCTTAATCTTTAATTCTTCATGCAACGACTATTAATTTTGTTTATACTCTGTCAACATCTATTAGCAATGATAAATATTTCAGTAGATACTCTACTTTACAGGTCATTTGCATCCTAGCTAATAGAAAAATATGCCCTTATACTTTTTAATCGCACTTAAAGATAAATATTTATGTTTTATTCTACTAAATATACTATTATCTCTTATTATAAAAAGTGCGGATACGATAGTCTAGTAAATATTTAATATGACTCTTATCTATTTTTTTTGATATGAGCCTGGTAAAAGTCATATACATACATCTATTAAAGAATCAAAACATGATTGTATACTCGTCTGGCTTATTTGAATCACAATAACTATAAATTAAATATTACAAAAACAAAATCTAATGAAATTCAAGAATAGCAATATAGAATCGGTTGTCCTGTGTTCAAATACGTACCCAAATTATAATAACCTTACACGTCTAGTTCTTTGTTAACAAAATTTTAAGTAAAGAAAAATAATCCGATATGCATTATTATTATTATATATCAGAAAACAAAATATTATCTGACCTTGAGATACATTGTATCTTTATATAGCATGTAGAAACGAAAGGAAAAGAAAAATGTAATATAATTACTACTAACAAGGAAGAAAAATATTTGTATCTTTTCCAATTATATATTATATATATATATATATATATGTATTTTTGTTTTCAATAGAATTTTATTATAGACAAAAAGAAGAAGAAGAAAAGATTTATCTACATTTAAAAATCTTAATGTTGATTATTATTATTATTACTCGTATTTATTGAACGATCTAATCGATGATTTCCATGATTATGATAAACTTCTTGCCAAATATCAGCAAGACATACACTCGAATGAAATCGATAAAATATTGATAATGGAGATGTAAATGCTTGAACTATTGACCATGTAGTAGCATCATAATAATCTGTTTGTAATGGATTAAGTTGAACTTTTTTTGCTGATAAAGAATCATGCAGCCATATAGCTAAATAGATAAATTTTTATTTAAATAACAAAAAAACAACAAAATAGCTGAATAGATATGACTTATTTATCTTTATAGTATTTGTACAAAAGATAGTGTGTATATATATATTGACACTTGTAAATGTACCATGAAAATAAGATATTATTTATGCTTATATTAGAAATGTTTATAGGGGAATATATTTCGAACGACGTATCGATCTTTTATGAGATAAATATATTCACTTAAGATCAAGTAAACATGTGAGAAATGATTAAGATAAGCTATCTCGCTCCCTTTGAGAATAGACAAACTCTTTTAATGGTTATGATCGATAACCGTTTAATACAAGCTGGATAAATAAATTGATGTGTCGTAATTTTTTTTTGCACATCTAAAGACAACTTACCAAGATTAATTAGTAACAATGCTGTTATTAATTCTCGCCCAGGTTTTTTTCGAAATTCACTTTTTGTTATAATACGTCGTTTTAATGCATCCAAAATAAAAGCTGATTGAAAAAATGTTTGAAAAATTGATAAAAGATGAATTAATATTTCAATAAATCTTGGCACTGGAATTGTATATGTTTGAACAAGTATTGATGCAAATAATCCAAAACATGAATAAGCAAAATCACCAATTGTTGTTATTAAAATTAATATTCTATCAAATGTATCAACATGTGCTTGTCGATCATAATAAAGCTTTGTTGTATATATAAATGATATACAAACTATTGATGATGAAACAATAAGTAGAACAAATTCAGTTATATGTGTTATGGGTATTGCTGTCGATGTTTCAACAATAATTGCTGGTATAAGTGCTAAAATTGTTAATAAAAAAAGTATTCCACCAAAAACTAAACCATACGATGCACGTGAACAATTTATACTAAATATATGACGATCAGCAAAATGTAAAAATGATCGATTTTTAGTTTTACCAACATTACGCCACATAATATAAAATACAGTTACACATATAAGACTGTATTCAATTAAACATGGATATAAATAACTACCCATAAGTGATTCAACATTTTCGATAAATTTAAGTACAGTTGTTGTACTATTATGTGAATGATCTTCTTCAGTTGGAGCAGCAGCTAATATATTTTTGAAAATATTGACTCTACCCAAAGTTAGATTTGTTATTTCCACTACAAAAGAAAACGATAATAAATCATTTAAAAACTTCGTTGTACAATTAAATCTATCATGATGATATTCAAGGAATTTGTTAAACTTGATTGTTTATATAAATGGAAATATTGTATTCATCAGATTTAATGGTCTAGTAGAGATGTAGGTCACGCAATGTAAGTAAAAATATGGTCAAATGTTCTATATTCCTTAACAAGTTATAGTATAAACAATGTCAATCAAAGTAAATCTGGGACAGATGACAAAAAGAAAATAACATTTATCGATTGATGTAATCAACAAGGTTACAAATCAAACTACGATTTAATGTTACTGATTGGAACGCGAAAAAGATTAGTATCGTATACTTCTAGTAAAGATAATCATTCTAGGATGTGGACTATTCGATATGTCATCATCGAAACAATGAACATTATGATTATTAGTGTTATTTCTATACAATGCTGTTAAGAAGATTCCCATTTACCTTATGCCTAATATGATCATTCATATTAGCAATACATATTTTAAGAAATAACTCTTTAACTATTGTATTACCTACAACTACTACTATCTACAAATTGATCTAAATCTTTTTCTTCATTTTGAAAATTTATGATGATTCTCAAGATAATACCAGAATATTTGTAATAAAAAAGATTTATTCGAAGTGATATTATTTTCTCCCTACATTTTTTTTGTACTTTTATCAAAACTTAGAAAACTAACTCATAAATTATATGTCTGACGTTGTCCTTGTTTTCTTTTTTCTAATAAAAATACCTGATGTAAAATTTATTGTACCCAGAGTTTGTGGAACACTTGCTAATCTTATATGATCTGGTTGTTTATGTATTTGTTCTAATGTTTCAATAACAATAGCTACAAAGACAAAAGAGAAATCATTCATGTTATAGATTTTCTCGATTTTACCTTCAAACCAAGTACAAAAATTAGCAATAACTATATGAATAAGACCAACTCTTGCAGCAAAATGATATCGATCAATAATAAGCTATTTATCAAAAAAAGAATAATTTACATAATCCTAATTACTTTTAAATAATAACTTACATTTCCATATCGAAATAAAAATGTAAATTGTATACAATGAAAAATAAAACGAAATATAAACATAATTGATCTAGCTATAGAAACTGATTTGGAATAATTTGCTACTGATGCTCTATGATGTATTTGATCATTTCGTACCGTTTCAATTGTTTTTGCCAATTCAATAATTGTTAAAATAAGACCACCCATACAAAGTACTAAATATTAAAAGAAAATTTTCATTTTCGATATGAAAAAAAAAGCCTATTTATCATCTACATCCAGCTCCAATTCTCATAAATAAACCACCAGTATTATGTATATCTGGAAAATATGCTAGATGAAGTGAATTATGTTCAACCATATCCATATATTCTTCGTGATCATGAGCTGGTGCTGTTAATTTTATCCAATGACGCCGAAATTTAATTATATCAAGTGCACACCAAATCATCCAAATAATTGAAATAAGATAAATATATGTATAAACAATCTAATAATTCCATTAGAAGATAATTTTATGGAAATAGAAATTATTTACCTGCATTGTTGTTCGAAGATTTGCTTGATTTTCTTTTATAGCTAAGACAAGTACCATACATAAAATAAAAACAACAACTAATGCACCTGTTTCTAATAAGAGATTTGATAATGGAAATGATCGTTTTATTGGAATGTTGGATTCTAGATTGGAGAATGAACGACCTGAAAGTGGTAATGGTGGTAGTGGAGGTGGGAGATGTAATTGAGGAGATAGAGTAATAAGAGATATATCCGTTGTTTGCTGTTGAATACTATCTTCTCCATAATGCTCAATAGTAGTTGATCGAGATCGATAATTATCATGAATACTTTCAGATTCAATAATTTCTAAGCCAATTTCATCCGAATCGTTTTGTGTTGGTATTCGAAGTTCTTTAGATATAATCGGTGTTGTAGCATGAATTGAAATTGATGGTGTTTCTTTTAATTCATCATGTTTATGAGAATTTAATGAAATTGAAGATTTTCTTTCATCTATATTTGATTGAAAATGATTTATTATTGTAGATGTACGATTTGGTGAATTATGTTCTTGTTGATTTTCATTCGAACCTGATAAATAATCACTCAATGTTGATCGACTTACGGAATTTATTGATGATACTGAATAAGCATTATTTCGTAATTTTATTGATTTCGATGAAAATTTTCCATTGGTATTTGCAAGCATATTATATTTATGAATTTTCTCTCGAACTGATGAAGACACAGATGCATTTTTTAACATATCTTCAGTCATTTTATTCCACAAGCTTGTATTTGATACGAATATCGGTAATCAATGAATGGCAAAAAAGAACAGGTAAGAAGAAAAATAAAATGCTTATCAACTGCTGACTTTATTGATAGTAACGATGATAATATCTTTATTTTAACATACTGTTTCTAGTGAATTGATTTTGTACTTTTACCTTAGTTATCATTTTCTTTTATATGAAAAGAATTAAAATGTCAACATATGTCAATACTGTCTCTTTATATTTATTACATATTCAGATTAATGTTTTCGTTTATCATTAATCAATTGTCCTCTACAGACATTTTTTCTTATAAATACTTTTCCTATTATTCATAAGTATAAGGTATACTATTTCGATCAATAAAACCTATTTGTTCATCATCTGATCGTGTAGTAGTTAAATGTTTATAAGCCCATGCAGCTGTATTATGAGCAATATCTAATAATTGTAATGCTTTTTTATTAGTTATTTTTAATTCCGGTTCTTTTTGTAAAGATGACATTAAATTCGATAATTCATACCAAGCAATTAATAATGATCCTGGTATTGTTTGTCGCATATGTGCTGATCTCGTATGCATTAAATTACGTATATATGCAATAATTGATTCTAATGTTCGTGTTTGAATATTTGTTTGACCTATTTGTTTAACAATATGAGAAAGTAAATTAGTTGTAATCATCATAATTTCTTTGCCATATTGTGTCGCAACTTCAATATCAAATTCATTTAATGTTAATAATATCGAACGTATAGATTTTAAATTCTCTGATATAGTTGTAATTTCTTGAATATTTTCTTGTTGTTCTTCTTTATTCGATGATGATTGAGTCAAATTAGTTAGAGATTCTTGTATTTTAACTAGCTTATTAATACGTGATTGTTGACGTACTTGTTCAAGATGTGTGACTGGATTTACACCCCATGGATGAGTTAAATTACGAATATCTTGTGAATAATTTGTATTATTAACAGTCGATACTTGTATCGCATCTATAGAACGATAGTTCAGAAAAAGAATGAACTCAACGAAAGAACTTACTGTTATTCATAGACATTTTAATATAAAAATAAATAAAAAACGAATATTCAATTGGTTGTTATGGATAATAAACAAAACTTTCTATATTTACAATAAACAATATCCTAGATAATATTATAGTTCTTGACAATCTGCAATTCAGCTATATATCTATGTCATTCCATGAAGACTATACTTATAATTATATTTTCAAAATAATAGTTAATGCGATGCGAAGCAGAAGCATTTATGTAGTCCTCGGCGAGTTTTCTTCCTTTCTTTCTCGACGTACGTATCAAAGTGGTCATTTTGTATCACGATTATTTCAGCAATGGAACATTAGAAATTACTCTTTTAAACGCAATAATAAAATATTGAGATCGAACTTATATGATTCATTTTCCAGTTTTCAACAGGCTGTTTAGTTCGTTTACAGGAAGCGTCACAAAAACACGATTTTGACTTTTTTAAATTTTGAGATAATTAAAACGAAAAGCAAAAGCAAAAGTTAGGCGGTATTTTTCTCTAACAACTGTTTTACAGCTGAACTGCAGCTGGTAATAGATAATGAATCATCTAGATAATGTTGTGAAATCTTAAAATCGTTATTTTCGAAATCCTGCTTCGCATCGCATTTCGTAGTCGCGTGAAACTCGAATATCATCTAGTTTCCAATAGTTTATTTTTTTCTGGCTAATTTGCTAAAACTATGGTTGTACAAATGTACATTTATGCTTATATTTGTATTGTTTTAAACTGAAAATTCAAAGTACTTAATAAATAATTCTTCACTCGGTAGTACCGTAATCTTTTGTTATCTATAAATTTCATTTTGTCTATATATATATATATTACCGAGCAAACATTTCTTGTTTATTTGTCCTTCAGTATAACAAATATCATTGTTTCGCTGATAGTTACTCAGACAATATGATGAGAAGATTGTTAATCTAACAGAGACGACATTTGTTTTTTCTTTTTGTTTAGTCGTCAGGTAGAATATATCGTCGAAATGGCTACAGTGTCTTCGCTTTCGAATAATGATGATGATGCTTCCAGTTTACATCAATTACCTAAACAACGAATGCCATCAATAACACATAATACAGCTAAAACACCGGATAATTTTGTACTCGGAAATCGTCATGGAACATCGAATCGAAATGATGATAATCGATATACTACAACAAATTTTCAACGAGCAAATGAAAATGGTTATGATATTGAATTGCTGAAACATCTTTCAAATGATTTTGCACAATTACTTAATCGAACAGATATAAGCGATTGCCTACTCAATGTTAGAGGTAAATTAATATTATTATTATTTCACAGATATTTATATAATGGATGTAATAGGTACTTATATGGCTGTTCATCGATGTGTTCTAGCTGCTCGTTCAAGTACTTTTGCTGGTAAATAATTCATAGATAATATTAAAAGAAAAATTCTTGTTTATTTCCTAGCTGTTATTTCGGATAATATCAATCGACTTGATACAACAACAAGAGATCAACTTAAAACACTTGTTGAAAAAAATAAATTAGTCATTACGATTGATAAAACCGATGCGGAAACTATGAAACAAGTTGTTGTATTCCTCTATACATCAAAATGTGAATTAAATGAACGCAATGGTAAAATATTAGTTTTTCCTTTTTTCACATAAAATATAATTAATTTCGTTTTCAAGCATATGCTCTTCTTGATGCTGCTGGTCGATATGATATTAAAAGTTTAAAAGTACATACTGGTCGTTGTAAGTATTCTCTTTAATTGATAAAAAAATGATTTAAATCTATTTATTTCAGATCTTGCACATCATATTAATACAAATAATATTTTAATGTTAATAAAAGCTGCATATAAATATGATAATGTATTAGTTAAACAAAAATGTATTGAATATTTTATTGATCATGCAAAAGATATCATGGATATAAATGAATTATGGAAAGTATTTGCTGAAGAATATCCACCGATTGTTGCTGAACTTTTATATTGGAGTGTGAATAAAGAAGAATTTCGAAAAACTATACCTCAATCAGATTCATATTCACAATGGTAAATTGAAAAAAAGAGAAGAAGAAGAAGAAACAAACAAATATTATTCAACAAAGAATTCCATCTTTTTTTTTTGAATGTAAAAATACACAAATTTGTCCTTAATTTTTTTTTCTAAAATCATTTTTTTTGTCAAGAAAATAATAATAAATGTAACAGCATACCACCGGTAATTTTTTTTCTATTATTAAATTGGTAAATGAACTTGACCATAAAAATCAATTTCATCATCAAAAATAGTACTGTGTTGTTCATCACCATCAAGCTAAAAAAGAATGAATAGAATCTTTTTTTTTGTATTTTTAAAATAAATATCTACTTCGGTTAGTTCACGTTCTGTAAATAAACATGGAAGACACCATTTCCGAAATGGCACAAGTAAGACGAGTATAAATGGAAATAGAAAGGCAAATCTTGTAATTTTGATTGTAATCAATAAACCTGCTGCAATCACTTGAATAAATGTATAGGCATTTCGTTTCATTTGACGAACCTAAATTGACAAAAGAGTTCATTTACAAAAAATTAATTTATATTATATAAATACTCGTCTTAAATAACCAAAATTTGGATGATATTTTGTTGGAATAAATGTCATTTTAAGTCGACTAAATAGTTGTGTACCCGATATTGAGACAATACCAAAATATAAAAATATACCAAATAAAGCCGCAACAGGAATTTTTCGAATAATTGGTGCTGCAAATATTGTACAACCGATAAGTAAATGTACACCAATATTTGTTAAACGTTGATCTTTAATATCAATTAAACGAGCTTTTTCTCCAGGTGCATGAGTATTACTGTATTTAGATAAACTAGCGACATGGGCAATACTTCGTACAGGTGCTGCACATATCCACGGAAGACCAAAAAGTCCACTAATAGACACTAATATACCTGGTATTAATATATCCAAATGATAACCTGTTCCTTTGATAACTTTTGTTGAATGAACACATCGAAGTTTCGATTGAATCATAATGCTAATAGTTAGAAAAAAAGAAACTTCACTAGTTAATTAATTTTCTCTTTTCTTATTTTTTACCTAGTTAATTCAACTTCAAAAAAAAGCACCACTGATATTAGAATAGCAGGAAATGATGATGCAAAATAAAGCCAAAATGGTAAAATTTTTCGTGTAGGTGGTATAAACCATATATCACCACGTTCTCGATCACTTGGCCGAATTGAATCTGGTACAGTTATTTTCTAGATTAACATACGAAAATCTCTCTGTATATATTTTTATATAATATTTCCGAATAATTACTTGTGTAAGACTATGACCGCCAGCACTTTTTGTAACTAACATATCGAACAGCACCATAAATATAAGCGCAATCGTCATACCAAAATCACTTAATGTTTGTCTTGTCTACAATAAATTAATTATTTTATATTTCTCGAATATAGATATGTTTATATACAAGTATCGATGGGATTTAACTATAGGTTTCTGTTGTTACTCAACAATATCGAACTCATGTTTTACATCATAAGAATTAACTTACTGTTCGTCCGAAAAATTTACTTCGCCGAAAACGTTTAAGTGCAACTGAAATAAAACATGTTCCAAGAAGTATAATAAATGATAAAAGTGCTTTATTTGGCAATTGAGATTCATCATTTGATACTAGTGTTGAAGAATTATTTAATAACAATGATGAATAGGACGAATATTGTTTAGGCGACATACAATCATAGCACGAATACTTTGATGAAGAAGACAAATCATCATATGATGAATTCACATTTTCAAAAGCAATTGTTGTATTCAATACAGACGATATATTACATGAACAAGTTAATGGATAATCATAATTATATGAAGATTGGACTGGATTTAAACAAAATATCTATGAGAATAATAAGAAATTTGATAATATAGTAAAATTAAATGAATTTATGTTACTTTATAAAGTTTTTTAAATGGTTCATAAAGATAAACCAAAGCAATAATAAGGGCAAAGATTTCTTCGGTAAATCGAGTTACATGACGAATCATAAAGCTACCTTCAAAAGCCACTAGGATAATTATAAAAAAAGTTGTCCAAAGACTAACACAACATCGTACTGTCCAAAAATCTGCACTTAATGATTGACATAACTAAAACAAAGAATTAAATATTTCCAAATTTTAAAGAATGTATATACTTACATCGTACACCATTTCTTCAAATACAAGAAAGGGTCCTGTTGGCCCAAGAATTAATAATGGTTGTCCACTCATAAGTCCAAATAAAAGTCCACTGATCGACGATGCAATCAACATTTCATTGACACCTAATAGATTGTTAGTTTTGTCAGCTAATTAATAAACAAAGAAAAAAAAAGACGAGAACGGTCAAGCATATTCATCTAAATATAGATATTTACCTATAATACCACCAAAAGTAAGTGCTGGTGCAAGACAAGCAATAAACATAAATACAAGACTAACAAAACAATGGAGTGAACATGCATCCAAAAAATCTGATTTAAAATAAGCATAACGACGATGCATTTCGCGATAGACACCACCAAATATGAAACCACTTCTTGAAAATGGATCTTCTTCTTGTTTATCATGTGATATTGAAGATATTTGAGCTAAATATTTTTCTCAAACTCTTTATACATAAAATAAAATACAAAACGATTTACCTAATAGAATTCTCGTAGCTAAAAGATAACAAAATTTTTTTAATTAAAAAATAAAAATAATTAATATTTACATTGAGTTTGTGGTTGTTGTTGTTGTTGACTATCGGATGATTTATTATTGGTTTGTTTTTTACGTCGTGTTGAACGTCTTTTTGCATTATTATTTTTTATTTTAGCTGTTTCAACTATGGGTAACAGAAGTTCTTTATCAAAATCTCCTGGTGGCAAAACAATAGAATCTGATAGAAAATCATTGATACCACTTAATAAATCACGACGATCCATTGCTTGATAAGCTATCTCACGAAATTCCTTAAAAGAAATAAAATAATGATAAAAATTAAACATTTCGTAGAAGATTTTTAATTACAGGTGTACTAAAAAGAGTACTGAGAGAACGACCGATTTCAAAATATTCTTCCAATACAGGACCAATTAATAAAAAAATAAATCTAACTGGTAATGGAACTTCAGTCATATTAACTTTAATTTTAAAAAAAAGAATATACAAAGTTAAATATTTTTAAATTAACTTACCCATCATTTGACCTTCTGAAAGACGAACAAATGCCATAACAGGTCTTGTTAAATGACGTATACCAGCGATAAGTACTTCAGCACACTCAGCATTATCTGGCATACGTCGCATAACATCAGACTAAAAATAAATTATTATTAGAATATTGTCGAAATTTCTAGGGTATTCAAACAATATATGTTAAACTATCTACTCCGACAATTTATCTTATTTATGTGTAATTATTTATGGATGATCGTTTTTAGTTATATTCAAAGGAAATAAATATTGACATATATTGTCTAGTAAATGATAGTTTTTATTAAAGACGAAAGATTTTTGCACATGAATATGCATCCGGAGTTTGATGCATTTCAAAAAAAAACGTATATGCGAATATAATTTCACACTCTTCAATTATTGCTATTCTTTCAGTTAATAGCTATGTTGAATTCTTTTTTTTTTTGTCTAAAGATAAGTTCATATTGACTATCATTAAAAAAGACAAAAATACTACTTAAGGATAATCGTTTGTTCTAATATAAATATAAATATATAATTAACAAAAACTTGAAAGTAAAAACGATATCAATAGAAAGTTAATTGTTCGAAATATGATTAAAAAGTCAATGAGTTCTCGCATATCATTTAATAACAATCTAATAGACATGATAATATATATTTTCACACACATACACATACAGGAAACTTATGCTTAATACTTGTAAAGTGATCTCTTTGCTTTCTATATGTCAATTGACTTCATCTCTTTATTAGTTTTTTTCTAATTCATTGATTCAATATTCCTTTTATTTTTTTTGTCTATATTACCCTATATGGAGCGGAATCTCGTGATTTTTTTGGTTGACTTTGTGATGGACGATGACTGATGGATATTGGTCGTAGTTGATTAACACTTTCATTACTACCTTTTATATTACTAATTTGTTCAGATGAAGTTTGTCTAGTTTGTAGATCAGATGCTACAGATTCATCAATAAGATTATACTTAAAGAGAGAGAAAATTTCAATATGAATATTTATATATATATAGACTAACTTTGACAATAAGGTTTTTTAAATTTTTGTTTAACTCTCCATTTGCTTTTGATTCTAATAAACTCATCCGTCTTGTATCATCAGAATTAACTTGATCATTTTTTCGGAAAGCTAAACTTGAACGTCGTGTACTCATTTGAGGAAAATCAACAGCAGAAGAACGACGTCGAAATGAAGAACGAGGTTCTGGATGTCTAAAAAACATAATTTATTAAAATCAAATTCAATTAATCAATCAATCAACTCATACTTATGATTACTAGTTAAAATACGTAATAATTCATCTTTAACATCTTTATTCATTTGTCCATTAGCAATTGCATCATTAATAATAGCTTCATATATACCTTCTAATCTTTGCTCATCAAGATCAAATAAAACAGTACCTGAAAATAATGATTATTATCTCGTAAAAAACTTTTTTTTATTGATACAAACCATATTGTAAACCACGACGTAATTCAAGCAGACTATGAAAATTTAAACAACCCACTCTAGGTGCTAAAAAAAGAAGTAAATATGAAAAAACAGAAATAATTAATTATCGAACTATAAACCTTGCCAACGTAACATTTCAACATCAAAATCTTCTTCATATCGAATCCATCTAAAATTTATAATTAAGTTTTTTTTCTTGTATTAGACATATTATCTACCTTGCGCATTCATTCCAATAATAATCATTATCATCAGTGGATAATAATTCTTGTAATTCAATAAATAATTCATTAGGTGTATGATCGACAGACTAAAGAGAAAAAAAACTGATTGGTTTGTTAGAAAACTTAATAGAGATACGTACTAATCGTCCTATATGTGCTCGTTTATAACTTGCTCGATGACCAATTCCACGTCGTTTTCCACTACCAGTTAAACTTGAAGTTGCTGCTTGAGATCCTCCTGGTGGTGATAAACCAGTTGAATTTATTGCTGATGATGTATTCTTTTCATGTAATACTGGTGACCCCGGACAAGAATTGGTATTGAAATAATCTTCAGAAGAAAAAAAAACAGATTTACGTAAAATTTTCTTATTTATTATACCTTTAAAATTTATGTTATCCATGTTGATAGGTGTAATTGATGGATAGGGATCTTTTGTTTTGTCAACCCTAGATGAATGATGTTTAAGATGTTTCGTTGATGTTGTATCAATCTCGTCATGTGTGACAACAATGAGTGGAACAGAAGCTGTGTTACTATTTGTACCACTATTGTGATTGCTAAAATCAATAATAAAAAAGACGATGATGATGATGTTGATGACAACCAAACATGATTAAGTTTTAGTGCGTTAGTATGTGTTTGTGTATTAAGGAGAACAGTTAGCAAGGAAGTATCTTTCATTCTTTTTCTTTTCTCCTCGTTTTTCTCATCTAATTCGATCATATCCGTTCTAAAAATCGACAGGGTGCGCGGATGAATCGGAAACCGAGAGTGACACGTCATTGTCGTTTATTAGAGCGAAATATGGATAGATAGGAATAGAGAAGAGAAAGAAAAAATAGATACCAGTCTTCAATTAGATCAATTTAATAAAACTAGATGCTGCTCTTATTTCTTAACGCAGCAGGAGTATTCTAACATGATGTTTTTCATGATTTACTCATCTTATTATAATGGATGAAGAAGAACATGAACAGGAACAAGAAGAAAAAAATCAATCTATTCAATATTAATATTGAAAAAAAGTTATTTTCAAGTTATTAAACAATATTATCTAACATAATACTATTAGTCAACTAGAAAACATATTGTCGATTATAGAAAGGAAATAATATCTCTATTGGTTGTTCTCCTTCTCTCTATTTGCGTGCGTTTACGACTTATCATGCAAATTAATATAAAATTTATTATATTTGATCAGTTTAACTGTTAAAATTATAGAATCTTTCTTTTAACTCTAGAGAATAACTATAAAAAAAAACAAGATATTCACATGACGTAAAAGAAACTATCACTTATTCTATTCTTCTCAATAACATATTTTTGACATATAAAATGTGGGTGGACGAGCTTATAAATCGATCATGATTTATTAGTTTATACAAAAAAAAAGAAAGAAACGAATATAAGATAAAATTCTTCTATACCTGTTAAGAACAATTTTCTTTTCGTTTTACTTAATAATTAACTAAAATGCAACGGATGTGTAAATATGTATACTTGTTTGAGTTTTTTCTCGCTTTTTTTTCTATTTCTATAATATTATGAATAGAAATTACAGTGCTGATGATGGAAGAAAGTGTAAAGAAAAGAACAATAAATGTAAATAATATGGAATGATTTCCGTACATTAGATGCATATGATCACTACGTTCTCTTACTTTCTTCATTTGATTATTTCTTTTATTACATAAAGAAAAAGGAAAACCTTACGTAGATGAGTTTCTTCTCAGTTTTTGAATATATATAAATATTCTTTTTTTGTATCAATGATTGTTATCTTTAAATGATAATTAAAAGAGAAGAATTTTTTTATTCTCGGAAAGATGCAATTAGAACTTATTATAAATAAAGTAAAAGATTCACTTGTTATATTAAAAAGAAACATTCTTTTTTTTGTGTTACTTTAACGTAGAGATCGACAATGACAATTCATTCTTTCGTAATTCCTGTCTTAATAGATTTTTATCTATGAAGAAAAGCTATGTAATACACTTTTCTGCTTATATTATTTTTCCACTTCAAGAAGAAAAAAAACTAAATGCTTTTAAAAAGAAAATTTTCTCAAATGGTTTTGCTATTTTAAAGTGTAACTCAATACTTTTACGTACTCATTTGTGTAAGATTGATTAAGTATTGGTGTTGTTGTAGTTTCAGTTGATACTGCCGTTGTTGGTGGAGATCCATCATCTATTGTCTCTTCTTTGATATATTTAACATGTGTTTTTCGTTGTGAATGTAATGGACGGTCTAAAATTGAATAGAATAACTTGATTGGTAAGAAAACTTAAAGAAAAAAAAACTGATCAAATCCAGATAACAATAACATACTATTTCTCCGGAAACTCATTAGTTATTAATAACGAACAGAAGTACATTGATAGTAGAATTGTGTACTTATTCAAGTATCTATATTAATACCCGTGGATATTATCCATGTCATTGTATAAGTAATTTTTTTTTCCCAAGAGTTCTTTTGATAGTTTAATCAATACCCATAGATCTTACTAGTCTATTGATGTTATATGTGTTAGTATTTCTTTTACTCTCCCTCTCATTTTCTCTCTTCCGTTTCTTTTCTTTTCTTTTTATGTAGAAGAATTTCGACAAATGATCTATTTCGGATCTCTATCTCTTAGACTAATAATGATCTATCGTTCGTCATATAGGTGAATAGCTTTACAATCATTTTCCACTTGTCTGATGTTTGTCAGACATGTCTATCAATCGATATATATATATATATATATAGTATTATATCTCGACTTTTGACAATATATAAAGAACTCAATTTTTCTTCTTAATGATAACAACAAGTATATAAATACTAAGCATATATATGTACGTTCTAGAAAAATAATATAGATTTACATCTCATTCATAATTTAGTTTTGTTTCGAAGAATTTCTATTAATAGAAAAAATTCATTTTGTTTTTTATGTATTGAAATCAAACTTTTTTTTTACCAGTACTGTTACTATTTGATTGCAGAGAGTACTTCTTCTCCATTTGTTGATAATGATTATTATTAATATTATGATAATGTTCATTATCATTATTATTATCGATCTCGTCAATATTTTCTTCGATCGTTGTCAAAGGTAAAATTATAGTTGTTCCCGTCATTTCTTTATACTTATACTAAAACAATCTATTATTGAGCGATTATAGATGTTTGCGCACATATACGAAATAGTAGAAGAGGAAGAGTCTTTTGATTATATGTCTATATAGAAAATAGGTGTTAAATACCAATGATGTTACTTGAAAGAAATACTAAATAATGTATTAATATAAAAACAGATCTATTAGAAGGACAAGTGTAAAAGACAAAAGGAAAAAGTGTTAGTTTCTTGGAGCATATACAATTACAGACATAGAATAAACAGAAGTATACCTGAAAGAATACAATCATCGTCGTCGTCATCATCATCAGTATTTTCATCCACACAAAATCTGCTGTCATCCGGCTTATGGGCGTATTTTCGAAATTGTGTGTCACTTGTCGACTCATCATGTTCTTGTCCAAAAAGAAAAATATTTAATTTATACGGAACATGTTCATGATTGCTATCTGTTGATGATGATTGCATACTTGCCTATACAAACTTGACTGAGTCTTTTTTTAATATAAATAAAAATATACAAAAAAATTTCCTGCTGGAATATAATGATCACATTAAGGAAAAAATATTTTCTTTTAAAAATAAAGTACTAGAAAAAAGGAAAAGAACAGAAACAATACATGACATTGAAGAATCTTATTTTGCTTGTGTTCCATTAACGAGTTAATGCTAGATGTAGAAAGCAGACGATAATATTTTTTTTTAAATAAAACGAATAGAAGAGACTTTGTTGCCATTGAGAGAAAATATAGCAAAAAAAAAAAAAAAGAAAAGAAGAAATGTTGATACTAAGCAGTAGACAGAAAAAAGGAATAAGATGATGAAGACAAAATGCTGAAAGCCAAAATAACATGACTTGTCGAACTAAAATGCGTGAGTATAGAATTAACACGCATGTCTCTTGAGGAAAAAAATCAAATAAGCATATTTACACACTTTTGTTTTTTGACATCTAATATACTTGTAAGAATCGCATAATAAAACAATTATTTCTGTCCTCTTTTCTTATTTTAATTAGTTATCATTTTCTCAATTCAGTGATTTTATTTATAAAAAAAATAGTTTCAAAGAATGATTTTGAACTAAATATGGAAGAAAAAAAAAAGAATGTAATTTCCTGTTTGATTTTTTTTTCTTTTTCTTTTATTTTTTTTAGTTTTATATTATAATGAAAGAAAAAGACGAAGCAAAAAAAAGAAGAAGAATATAGAAATATATATTCTATTCTTTGAGATGAACTCATCCGCCTATTTTTTAAGTTAAAATAAGAAGATTATCCTGCTGACTGAACACTTTCTTTCCGTTTTTACTTTCATAAAATTAAAAAATATTAATGCGGTTGAAGAAATACTTTTTTTTTATTTAATTAAACTGCATTCTGCTTTTCAAGACAATAAATCATTTTTATTTAAAAGTCAATTAAACGTTTATGAATATAATTCATATACGGTAATAATAATTGCTTGTCATCATTCATATTTAATAATTTTAAATAATGTTCATTATTTGCTAATTGTTGATAATGTAAATCGTCAAGACCATAACTATAATTTATAATCGGTTCATTGAATGATTCTGAAGGATAACCATATAGATTTCCAACGGACATTAAAACGCAAATAAACATTATAATTGTATAAGCAATCATGATGTGTATGTGGGTGATTGTTGAGAAGATTGAAGTGTTTGTCAAATAGAAAAGACAATGTATTATAGTTTTTTTTTTTGTAACATATTTATATAGATATTTCTTAATTTATTATGATATATGAGTATGATTGAATACACTCAAGTTACATAGAGATTTTTTGAATTTCTAAATTGATTTATATTTATTCTTGTAGATTTTTTTTATTTCGAGTATTTCCTGAATGAAGTAATAAAAGAAAATATTTTTTTTATTATTAACAATAAAACTTTTCTTCAATTTAAATATAGAAATGTTTTATTTATTGAACAAACAAAAAGAAAATCTAAATTCTATTTATATCATCGAGAGGTGAAGAAAAGAAAAAAAAATTTAATCATACTCAACTTGCATAAATATAATTAAATAATTTCTTTACACAAAATATCTGAATTAAACTGCAGACACCTCGAGATTGCATACATGTGTCTTTATATCCTACGCATTTATATGCACATTTGATTACACATGCTAATTAATATGCGTGACTGAGAATAATGCATTTCCTATAGAAATGTCACAATTTGTTAGATCTCTTTTTTTTTGTGTTCTTGTAATTGTGTTCATATTCTTTGATGTAAAAATAATAGTGAATGCTTATAAAGATTACAATTTTCAAATTATTAACAGAAAACTTGTTTTTGTTTCAACCTTGAATAGACAACTAAACATGAAATAATTAATTCAAATGTTTTAATTATTAAGAATATTATTTGTTAAAGATTTATCAAATTTTTATTTTTGTTTTTTGATTGATAAACAAAGCCAAGAAATATTTATCATTTGCGAGTAGATAGAAGCATTCACACAATGGAACGTAATATAGAATTAAAAATAAGTGGATAAGAAAAGAAGCAAAATCTGACACATCATACATAGTCATATGAAGGATAACGATTTTGTTGTCGATCAGAATGTGGAGGTACTGGAGATGAATGCCTCTGCTAAATTAATAACAAAATAAATTATTTATGAAAAAAAACAAAAAAACAAAATTACATAATTATTATCATCAAGTTGATATTGTCTTGTTTCATCTATATTTATAGTATTCATCATTCTAGTTGGTGACATATTTATATTATTATTATCGGGTGTAACTATAGCTCGTAAATTAAGAAAACTTGGTGGCAATGGTCCACATAATGCTGCAAAACAATTTAAACATGGATTTCCTCTTGAAAACGGATTTTTCATATGAGCACCACGACGTGATGTATTCCATGTATCTTTGATCTTTTAAATAAAATAAACCTTGAAAACTTTCTTTTTTTTTCTAATTTACAACTTACATCTTCATTTGTTGTTACACTACGACAAATTAGATAAGTATGATATCCCCAAAGACCAAGAACGGACCATATTGAAAAAAAACAAATTAACGCTTCAACTATTGTTGCTGGTGTATCGCGAATTGCATCAGCAAATGATGGTTTATCTTGAGCTCCTATGTAAACGAAAAAAAAAGAACAATCTATAGTTATCATTATGTTTACATGATATTAATCGGATGGATTTAAAAAAATATTATTTTAATAAAGCTTTTTATTATTGGATAAAATATTCAAGAAATTTATTTCTTCTTGTTCTTTCAAGTGAATAATCTATCTTGTAATGATTACATAGAGAGTTAACATCTCTTTTCGAAATTATAACCAACGGCTAAATAACAAAAAGCTTTTAAATACAAAAATATTGATCGTTATTTATTGGAAGTACTTCATAACAATCTCTCTGTAGGTTTAACATACTTAAAAACTAGACATAGTATTTTCTTATTCATGCGGAAGCAATTGATTAGTATTAAAAAATCTTTCATAGGAAACATAAAACCTTTCAAACTCTACTTATTTTTTTAGTATTGTAAGAGAACAGTATCAATTTTTCTTTTGAAACTCTTCGTAACATAAAAATACCGATAGATCTACTTAATCTTATTTTCATGTTTTTTTTAAACAGACTTTATAAATAAAATACTCACTATTTGTTTATCTATAAATAATAAGCTTTCCGTAAACTTAGACATACTTATGAATAAGTAGATCTTCCGGAAAAAAATACATAATACAATAGTATATCTTTAGAACTAGTGAATAAAATCACTTGATTGATCAAATCCGATCATGTCTGAGACTCTGTAGCTAATCATAGGCTGTATCAATAGTATATACAAGTTAATAAAACTATCCTACATTGTGGCGAATCTGTTAGGTTTTCGAATATGATTTCAAATAAGGTTCTATTATCAACGTAACAATAATGATTAAACTTACGTAAAACAATATTTATAATATTAAATGCTAATATATAAATACAAAGAAATGATAATGACATTAAGAATGAATAAAAATATCGATAATTTCGTAGGCCAACACAATTTCCAACCCATGGACTATATTAATAGACAAAAAAATTCATTTTATTATTCAATAAATTCTACATACCAATGATGATCAAAATTTGCTAAAATAAAAAGAAAGCGCATTTTTATTTATCCTTATAAATGTGGAAACTAAATCTTCTTTTCTTATTCGTATTACTATTAAAATTAAAAATAAATAATTCATGTTCTATTATTCAATCTTATTGCTTATTAAATATAAATCAAACTACTCAAGTATTTCATCTATAAAATCAACAACAATAAAAATATTTTTACATCGTATTTTAGCCTCAAGCAATACATCAATGTTCTAAGAAAAATATTCATTTTGAATTAATTTCATTAACAGATTTAATTCGATTCGATTCAATATTATTATTATTAAATAATAACACTGAAATTTATCCACAATTTTGGATTCATTTTAATCGAACATCTTTGAAACAATTTATTCGATGTCCACAATTTGATTCCGATATAAGCCAATGTTGGACATTATTATATAATTATCTCGAGAAACAATTTTGTTTAGTACAAAATAATTGTCAAGAAAAACATTTTGTTCTATGTGAAAACAAATCTTTAATATTTAAATCGAAAAAATATTTTTTTTTAATTATAATCTTTATTATTCTATGTCTATTCATTATTTATTATAGACGAAAACAAAAATTCATTAATAATATATTTCTATCTAAACAAGATTTCTCATTACTTGAATAAATCATTTTAACTTACCAATACATGCATCACATAAAGAACAATGTGATACACGTGGTGGTCGAAATATTTTACAGGTTGAACAAAATTTTAATTGTATCACATGTCCTGTATGCATTTGAACTTCGATTGTACGACCGGGTAATGCAACACTTTGTGGACTACTTGTAATATCTATGAATAAAGAGGAAAATGATATTTTGTTTTTTTCTACAATAAAAAATATCTTACTTGATCTTTCAAGGTAGAGTACTTCATCAGGTGTAGCTCGTGGAAGAATACCAGGATCTGAACAAGCAGTACGAAAAATAAAACAGATAACACTTAGAAATAAAATAGCAGCAAAAACTGGCACAGCTGGGCTAAGTCGGTAGGTTAAATATGGACAACTAAAATAGAAAAATATATTTTAAATAAAATAAAATGTTTTTTTTTTCGTTTAAATTTTTACTCGAAACCAAAAAATAATCCCGATGTAATGGTAATTAAAATAAGTGCAAAAATAAATACACCAATATCACGACCAGTTAAACACCGCCCATCGCAATAAAATCGATTTTTACTCTCAAGAATCTATTAATTAAAAGATAACTAAGTATCATTTTAAATGATAAATAATTAGTTACATACCTCCCACTGTTTAACCATAATGTTATAACCGGTAACAAATCATTATAATCGATGAAGGAAGAAAAAAAAGCGAAATTTCAATGTGATATATGTTAAACAATTCTCGATGACGACGAAAAAGGAAGATCTTATAAGCCGAAATTAAACAGACAAAATAATCAAAATGTCGAATAGTAGAATTGACGCTACTATCAATTGATATTCATATTGACAAGTAGCGTTTATTTGCAACGACCTCTTGTCTTATTTATGATTAGTTATTTATTCAGACAGGAAAAACAGATAACTTCTGCTTGTCTTTTTTTCTCTTTTTGAATTTGAATTTCATTCAATTTTAAGAAGTAAAATGTCAGCGACAACAGTCAAAAATTCACTATCTTTTGTTATGCCAACAACAGATATATCTTTATTGGATTATACAGAAATTGATCAAAGTTTAAATTTATGGTCAGATATATTTCCAATAATTGAAAAACAAATTGTAACACTTACAACTGTTGCTCAAGAAATGCAAGAGTGTCCAGGTAAATTAATCAAATCTTATCTTATACAAAATAATATTGTAATTTATTAGAACGTCAAAAATATGTCGATGCATTAATGAAAATTGCCATGCGGGTTAATGATGTCGAAGATAAAGCAACAACATGTATTAAAGAAGCTCGAACACAATTGAAAAAGGTTAAAGAAACATTTCGATTAAGTTATAGTATTAGAATTATCAAATAAGAGAGTAATGACAATGAATCTACTAGAACTTTAATGATCTGACATCTAAGAATCTAAAGTTTTCACATTCAGACAATTCTTTATCAGGTGTACTCTATTACAAGTCCATATTCAAGATGTAGAATAGTGTTAATCGACATTAGCGAGACTTATTTCAGTTACACGATCGCTTTTCATTCTTTGAAGAACTGTATTTCACAATATTATATAGAGATGTTTGATCTATAACCTTAATGTTTGCTAACACAAAATGGAAAAACTACGTTTCATACCACCTCGTCATTCCGAAATCGAGCAGCGGTAGTTTCTTACGATCTTCGGACAAAAGAAAAAATGTTTGGAATGGCAATATTTAACTAAATAGTGAAATTTTGATTGGAGATCGAAATGAGGAAGCGCAGTAGTATGTAATGACCAATACAGGAAGGTTGTAACAGAGCTACAGGGTAACTGGAATGAAAACGACAGGATGTTCGTAAATAAGTAAAGTTTACTCATTATCGAGAGAATATGAGGTGACATGCTAGTCTTCTAATCATGTTCGTAACGGTGTCTTGTTAAAGCTCTTCGCGAACATCCTGTCTTTGTCAGTTCATGCCTTGCGACAACATTCACTCTTGTTCGTTGCAGTGTTCAGGATTAAGTCAGGCACAGCAAGGAGCATCCTATTCCGAACATCTAGTCAGTTCATTGGGTTTCTTTTGCTTTTTCTATTACGATCTCCAGTAGACCAATATTTTCGAACACCTACACATGTAGTGAGATGTCCGAAAAGACTGACACGAAACGTAGATCATCCCATAGGATCTTGGTATTTTGTTTTGTAATATAAACGTTCTTTTTTTCTTATCTTTAGACAAAACTGGTTGATAAACACAATGATACTCAAAAAAAAGTTAATCGTTCAAAAGTTCGTAATAATAAAAATGACGATGATGACGATGACGACGATGATGATGATGAAAGTGATAATGAAATGGAAATTGATGAATCACAAATTGATGAACAAATTGAAGTTTCTGCATTAACAATAGATAGTTTAGAAAAATTACAAAATCGAATGACTAAAGTACTTGTCAAACAACCTGATGAAAATTCATTTAATATCGATGCTGATAATCGTTACGCTGATTTTGCTGAATGTATTTCCAAAATGCAAAGTAAAATAAAAAGATTTTTTATATTTACAAAAATCTAATCCTTATCTACATATTTAGATGATGGTGACGATGATGAAGATAATAATGATGCTAATGTTGTTGATCAAGTTGTTTCCAATAAATGTCCATTAACACAAAAAGAATTCGTTGAACCCGTACAAAATAAAAAATGTAAACATAAATATGAAAAACAAACTGTTTTGAAATATATAGCTGATAAAAATAAATCCAGACGTCCAGCTAAATGTCCATCGGCTGGTTGTAATAATATTCTCACTGAAAAAGATCTTATGAATGCTTAAATCAGATATTGTATGTATATAGATTTTCTTTTCCCTGTTTCTTATTTTGAAATAAACAAATATTATATTCATACACTTCATTGATTTTAATCAATACAAGAAACAAAATGCTTTATAATAAAAAAAGCGATACATATTATATACTATAAGAAAAATTAGTTTTTCGTTTACTTAAAATAACCAGGGATACTATATAAAAAATAATATGTATATATTCGTTTTTCTCACACTATTTTTGTTCGTTTTCTTCCCTCGCATATTTTCTTTTGTTTTATCTAAAACGACTAGTTCTATGAAGAAGAAAAAATAAAATACTTGACATGTACAACAAATGATTACGACAATAGAAAAACGAAGTAAAAAGGTATTGAGGTAAAAGAAATGGTGTTTTTGTTTTGTCGACGATAAATGCTTTCTATTCAAACAGCTAAATCAACTGATTTTGGTATAATTAAAAAATTCTTTAAAGTTGGTTCAACTTCACGCGAAATAAATTCATAAACCTAGAAAAATAATATAAAACAATAAGAACAAAAAAAGAATTCTTCTATACTTGTTCAGGTGCACGACCAATAAATGTTTTAGCATCAAGAAGAACATCAAGTTTGTTTATAATTGGTGCAAAATATGGATCATTTTTTACACGTTCAACAAGATCATTATCTAAACCTTCGAGTTTAACACGTTCAGCGGATTTTTGTGATAATGTACGAATTTTTTCATGACATTCCTGTCGATTACCACCAGCCGAAACCTACATATATATATATATTTACATATCTTCAATGTATTTGTAGTCAAAATTGAAATTATTTACCATAGCCATGATAATATTTTCGGTAGCCATAAATGGTAATTCTTGTTTAATATGCTTGTCAATAACCTAATTTAAGAAAACTGATAAGATAATAATAAGCATATTTTTGTCCATTTACTTTAGGATAAACGACAAGACCCTCGGAAATATTTTGTAATGTAAATAAAATAATATCAGCAGTCAGAAAAGCTTCAGGAATGCAAATACGTCTAAAGAAGAAAAATGATAGAAAATTTTTCATGAAAAACAATCTTTCTTTTATATTTTATAATACTTATTAGCACTATCATCTAATGTTCTTTCCATCCATTGAACTGAATGTGTGCCAAGTGGATCGTTAATTAACGTCATTAAATGACGTGCAAATGAACAACATCGTTCACATCTCATGGGATTACGTTTATATGGCATAGCACTTGATCCTATTTACATAAGATAAAGAAAAACCAATTAAGCTTTTCTTAAACCTATAGAATCATACCAATTTGTTCGATTTCAAATGGTTCTTCAATTTCTTTCAAACTAGCTAATAGACGAATATCGGTACACATCTATATAAAAAAAAACTTTCTAAATAAATTCAATAAGAATTAATTTAGTTAACCTTATGAATTGAACCGCCAAAACTAGCAAGAACATTAACTACTTCAACATCGAGTTTACGAGTATAAGTCTGACCACAAATAATAAATGCTCTAAAATATCAATACATTAGTACACAATGATTTCAAATATCGTCTTAAAACCTACTTTCTAAATCCCGCCATTTCAGTAACCATTCGATCAAGGTCTTCAACCTATTTATAATATATATGTCTAAAATTATTTATATGAAAATTCTTAGTAATTATATTTACTTTTGAGTGATCACCATTGAATAACTGAAGAAAGGATGCTTGAGTACCAGTTGTTCCTTTAATACCACGAAATTTTAATTGTCTTTTCACACGATCAAAATTTTTTAAATCCATTAATAGATCTTGGATCCAAATACATGCTCGTTTACCAACAGTTGTTAATTGTGCTGGTCTTTATATAATTAAAAATAAATTTATACAAAATCATATATTAATATTTTATTTTCTCAGATACAAAAGAAAACAATCATTCATGTGTTTGCGTCATGAAACTTGATATTTACATCGAAATCCTACTGAGTTCTAATCCAACTAATTTATAATATTTTGCACTCAGCAGGTGCTTCTGACCTGGATCTAATGTAGGAAAAGATTAGTTAAACACACGACATTCATAGAAAATATCAAAGAGAGTTTGATGTATTTTTCATTGTCTATGATACTTTAGTACATTTCACATACCAACACTATCTCAATAAATTATAACCGCTATTTTAATAATATTATAAGAAAAAATGAATAGAACAAAACATAATTTCGAAATTATACATACTGCATATGTGTATAACCAAGTGTTGGTAAACACGCATATTCTTGGGCAAATTGAGTTAAACGTTGAATACATCGAGCAAGCTAAATATTAACAAAAAAAAGGGGAATAGAACAATGGTTAAATAAATATATTTTATTATTTACTTTACTAATAATTATATCAAATGCATCTCTCATAACGATTAAATCCTATATTAAAAATAGGTTAAAAAATAATATTTTATTATAAAAAATAATCTTACAGCATTATCACCAACAAAAGTAGACGTTGCACCAAGATGAATAATTGGTGAAGCTTTTGGACAACAACGAGCAAATGTATGTACATGTGCCATAACATCATGCCGTCGTCGACGTTCTTCTGCTTCAGCTATATCGAAATCAATATTTGTTAAATTTCTTTCCATTTCATCTAATTGTTCATCAGTAATATCCAAACCAAGTTGCTAATTAAAACATAAGTCAATTAAATATTTAAAAGAAAAGAAATTTTTTTCTTTTAAAAAATTATACTTTTTGGCATTGAGCTAACCAAAACCAAAGACGTCGCCATGTAGAAAATTTTTTCATTTCACTAAAATTGTAACTCATTTCAACGGATGCATAACGAGATACTAATGGTGATCGATATTTTGTTCGATCATCACGTGATATAGCGAATGATGATGATGATTGATCTTTCATACTGGGTCCATTTTGTGACGATGTAGTACGAGTTGTTTTATTTGATTGTTGTTGTTGTAAGGGTGGATGTTGTTGTTGCGGTGGTGGTATTGTTGATTGTTGTTGTTCAATGAGTGATGGTTGTGGTATATTCGTAACCTCAGACATATTCAAACTTTTTTGGCTCTCACTTGTCGTTGTTGTTAAATCCGACATCTACAAAGGATAGATAAGGTTCGTTGTTTATCTAATAAGGAATAAGTTTCATTCTATCGATATTATACAAAACTAAAGACAATAATAAATTAACATACAGTAGGTATCTGAATAATAAACATGATTTATCTGATTAGTAAGTGATTACTGTTTTATTTTTGCATGATCGTTATTTATAGGAGAAGAAAGAAATTAAGGAAAGAAAGAATATGAAGACTTTTTCAAGCAGTAAATATTTTTTCTTTTACGCTTCTATTCTATCCTGGTACTCATAGAAGAGAACAGAACGAACCTTATAGTGAAGTAAATAGCAATAGCAAAATCCAAGAGAATCGATGTATTTTTTCTATTCTTTTTCATCCTTTTTTTTACGCCCTCCGCTCTTGATGCAGTAGTATCACAGCCTATGTAAACATACTCGCTAGTGATGTCGTCAGCGTTCGACAAGCATATACACGTACACGCATAGTTTCGCGTCTTGAATATGACAATAAGATATTTGTGTTTCACTCCTAGTTTCTCATTACTATTCGGTTTTTTTTCTTCGTTACTTTTCAAATTTTTATTATTATTTTTTTTT